CAATTGTGAGGCATAGCATGGCTCAGCCGAGTAAAAATATGATCAACTTTGTCACGTCAGTCAAACGTATCCTAGGTTAAAATAGCGGTCATTTTGCATCCATGTGGTCAATGGATTTGTCATAATTAGATGTAATTTTTATTTAAAAACTAGATAATTCCGTGAATTTTGCTATGACCAATTCTTACTCAACTGGTTGGCGGCCTATGCTCCATTGTGAGTGACAGGCGTAAGTAAGTAAGTAAGTAATTCTTACTCACCATGTCAGATTACCTTACATCGAACACATGCACTACATGTCGAATCGGATTTCATATGGTATTGAAGTACAGCGTTAGCGAACAATCTAGAAAGGTTTGAGGTTAATTTCAGTTCTGGAGCCGTGTTTTTGATGCCTAAATGACTGAAGTCTTCAGTACTGAGACAATATCACTTGTTTTCTGCTGGATACGTCCTATTAGCCCACAGTTTCGCTTTTGATTTTTTTAGACTTAGTTATCCATACTTAACTACGTTAACTCCGCCTATAGCTTTTTCAGAGCAACTACCGGTCCTAAAGCCAGGCAAAAAAGGAAGGTTGGTCATGGGGTCGACAACCCCATCCCGTAGGAAAAAAACATTGCTAAAAAACGCCGACCAGAATAAGCAACATAAACGATTTAAACTCTGTTCTCCAAGTTGAGGGAAGAATTATGACGCCCCAGGTTAAAAGCCGAAATTCTTCTGAAGTCACAAGGCCAATTCCATTTCTACCAACCAGGGCGACCATTATTATAGACACAGAGAATGTTCGGACAATGTGGGAGACCGAGAGGACCAGTCAAATATCAACGGAAATGAGGAGATACCACTTGGCAGTACTCAGAGTCATTGAAACCCATTGGACTCAAGCTGAACAGAAAAAGCTAGATTTGGTAGAGATACTGCTGTCCTCGAGTCGCGAATAAGAAAAAGCTCCAGACAAGTATCGACTCGCTCTAGTGTTATCCAAAGAAGCACAAAATACACTGATATGATGTGAATCTCATGGATCCACAATCATCGAAGTATCATTCAAAACGAAGAATGATGGGATCACAGTGAATGTTATTCAGTGTTATGCAGTCACCAGTGATGGCAATGACGACGATAAAAATCCGTTTTATGTGGTCACAATCATAGCAAGGTGCTCAGGAATGAACTTACATTTTGATGGGTTACCATAAACACAAATGTCGGAATGCACGACATCGGGTATGCAGTTATCCTATCATGGGACGACGTGGACTGGCTAGGAGAAAGAAATCAGAATGGTGACAGGTTGGCAAGTTTATGTACCATCAACTAAGTGGTTACTGTCGGTACAATATTCTCACACAAACGCATTCACAATGCTACATGGGTGAACCAAATCGGTCATATTCGCACAAAAAAAATTGACAAGGTCGATGGGAAACATCAGATCGCCACCTGGTAGATGTCAAGAAGAAACTAAAGCTAAAGATGCATCGGCCGACTGGAAAAGCAGTATTACAAAGGTTAAATGCAGACTTCCTTCGAGATACCGACAAACTCTGAGGATTCGAGATAACTCCCAACAAAAGGTTTCAAACCCTACAGGAACTGCTGAAAGAAGAAACTACTATGGATGACAACCGAATAGGACAGCTCCGTTGAATCCATAGTATATCAAGGCAGCACCTACAGAACTTTCTATGGATGTCACCCCATCAACGATGGAATAAATCAAGATGGCCATGAGAAAAGTCAGTGGTGGGAGAGCAGGAGAACCAGACAACAACATACTAGCCAAAGCACTGAAGTCAAACTGAGAACATGCTTCACACTCCATTCAGGTTTATTTGGGAAGAAGTACAAGAATAACAAGGATATAAAGATTCGAAAGAAAGGAGATATGAGCAAATGTGAGAACTACGGAGGCATTGTAGTGGCATTGGACCATAACCGCACAATCCTCAAAGCTCAATACGAGATTACTCAGAAAATAGATATTCAATATTTAACGCGAAGAAATACCTAACGATGGAGAAGGCGGAAACAAGGAATTGAAGGAATTGGGGTTGATCGGATGTCGTGGCTCGGCCATGCAGTCATGGTCCCTGCTGAATATTACCTTATATCTTTTATTCATATTAAATATATTGTTTTTTCTCTAGCCTAAGCTTGTTCTTCATCATGTATTGGTAGTTGTTACGATACAGTGAGTTGGTGTAGACGATGATGTGACTTCCACGTAAGATCTTATAGATTGGCAATTATATCATGACAAATATTCAATTTTAGGATTAGGTCTATTATTAGAGCAGTACTAATATCATGGTAGACCATAATTCTACATCATCACATTACCATCAGTAACAGAAAAGGTTTTCAACAGAAAGTTTCTGAACCGGATAAAGACTCAGTAGACGCCAAACTTCGAGATCAACTGTCTGGATTTTGCAAGGATTGGTTATGAATATATCAAATCAGGACACTATGGATCATCTTTGAGCAATCAACTGAATGGAACTCCTCACTATACATTAACTCCTTCGATTATGAGAAAGCATTTTACAGTGTTGATAGGAAAGTATTATGGAAATTTCTCCGACACTATGGATTTCCAGAGGAAATAGTCAACATCATATGGGATTGATGCGAAGAACTACACTGCAAAGCCTTGCTTTGAGGACAACTGACAGACTCATTCCATATGTGAACCACAGTCGAACAAGGCTGCCTACTCTCCTCCTTTCTCTTCCAGCGGTAGACTGGATTATGAAGACCTTCACATCCGACGAGAAGCACAAAATAAAATGGACAGGTTGGACGTAACTAGTTGATTTGGATTTCGCAAATTACTTAGCTCTTCTACCCCACGCACATGAGTATATGCAGGTGAAGACAAACAGTGTAGCAGCAGCTTCTGCGTCAGTAGGCCTCAACATACACGAGAAAAAAGTAATATCATCAAATACAACACGGAAGACACCAAACCAATCACACTTGATGGAGAAACTCTGGAAGAGGTGGAAAGTTCCACGCATTTGAGTAGCATCATCGATGAACGTGGTGGATCTGATGCAGGCGTAAAGACGAGTATTAGCAAAGCAGGGACAGCTTTACTACAGTTGAAGAACATATGGAACTCAAAACAACTCTCAGCCAATATAAAAGTCGGATTCATCAATATGAACATCAAGACAGTTCTACTGTACGGAGCTGAAACTTGCAGAAACTACCACAACCATCATCAAAAAGGTGCAAGTATTTATAAATAGTTATCTGCGCAAGGTACTCAATATTCGTTGGCCGCATACCATCAGTAATGGCCTACAATAGGAGAGGACAAATCAGCTTCCAGTTGAAGAGGAAGTTAAGTAAAGACGTTGGAAATAGATCTGACGTACATTGTGAAGATCACCAAACTGTGCTAACTTTGAATTCTGAAGGGAAACGGAATGGAGGAGGTCCGAATAACACACTGGGTCGGTAATCAAAGGCAGGCATGAACAGGATGAATAGCGACTGGGAGGGATTGTCCAGGACAAAGTTGAACGGAAAATGCTGGTGTGAGGCATATTCTCCCTTATGAGGGGCAACAGGCGTAAGTAATTAGGTGATCGTTGACCGTTACCAACAACTTAAGACAGCTACGCGATGTTGTCCAATATTCATATGTTGCAACTAATCTTTATATGAGTACTGCTTCTTTTTTCGTCTTCTTCTACATTTTAATGGCTTTTCAGTTTTAATATTCTTTTATATAATCCATGTACGCTAAATTTACCTTATTTTAGAAAATGTATTTTACCAATAAGATGATTTCGATAAAACAAAGACATTCAGTTCCATCACTCTCATTAGTTTAGGATATACTAGTATGACTTCAAAGTCTACTGACATCAACCGTGATGAAGCGACCCGAAAACTCCATAGTTTTCCAACTATAGAAGCAAGAATACATAACAAACGCCTGTCATGGAGACCAGCATTTGATGTTGTACAACAGTGATCTGTTTCAAGTTATTTACGTTTGTACTTCATGAGAATGAACTCCTACATATCGTTAGATCTTCATTACTACTTACGGTGACAAAATTAAGATCAAACGATGAGTAAAGAAATATGTCAGTACATGTGCACGTCAGATTAATCTGAACTTTCTGTTGAATTTATCCAAATCACGATTAGTGGTTAACAAAAGTGGACAAGTATGTCTATATGCACGCTGAGTACGCAAATCTCAAAGGCCACAACACGAGTGAAGTATCGGTTCAATTGTTACTGTCCAAAAATGGTCTATGGATGACGGTAATGATCTCACAATTGATCGCGGCTCACTTCCATCAGTTTGTAGTCAAATGGTTCATAGAACTGGATGGACTTTAAGGTATTTGTTTTCCCAGTGAGATGTGAAAATGATCGAAATTTACAGCACTAGTGAGGTTTAACTTGGAGAATTTTGCACAAGCTACAAAGACCTATTTAAAAACTGATGGCGTCTCCCAGAATACGTCCACAGGATGGCTGCTTTCACTATTCCAGAGCAATGTAACATACATAGGATACTAAGAAGTGACGGTAAACACAACATACCTTTTTACTTGAAACTAGGTCGTGAAGAACTAAAGGATACATTATTGAGTTCAAAAACCACGAACGAGCAAAATCCTCTTGAGAAATAGGTTTTTTAACCAAGTAACTAACTAGTAAAACATACTACTAAACGTTGTGTTGCTATCTTAAATCATCTCATGCATAAAATGTTAAATAGGCGTATGAGGTTGATAGAAAAGGACTAACGCATACTCTGCGCCTGTCAACCTCAATAAATTGTTATAAAATCTTAAATCAGTTCTAAAATATTCAGGATCATAATAGAAGATTAGAATGACTAATAGCACCAATCTTTTCAATATATGAAGCTTTTCTATAGCATCAAGATATAGGTTTAAATAAATAAGTCAACAAATAGCCAAAATAATAAATACAAGACTATTGTAAGTATATTGACAATTTAAGGTAGCGGTTTCCATAGCTTTCAGTAACGAGTGCATTTCTTGATTACTGTTAATGTTCCCTTTTACGAGTTATGGACTGTCGCATAGGCGGCATTCTTTTTTCATCAAACTTCGACTCGGGAAATCTAGCTCGTGTCGAGAAAGTCCTACGTGACCCAGATGAACCTCCATCATTATCACTTCAGTCTAATTCAAAACAACAACAGCAACTAGTTCAGAAAGCCACTAATAAAGTCAACAGTAATATTTTTGGAAATTTCGCAATAGCTGACGTTCGAGCTGATTACGAGTTCAGGATGTGGATTAAACCGGACTGCGCTGGCACTGCATATGCGAATGGGAATCGGACATGGTTTTATTTTTCTATGCGCGGGTACAGTCCTGGGAAGATTATGCGGGCTACTATAATGAATATGAATAAGCAATCGAAAATTTATAGTCAAGGCTTTTCCCCGGTTTATCGCGTCTGCAGTCCATCAGTAGCTCAGTCTAGGTATGCATTTTAACCAAAGTATTCACCAATTGGTTATATACATATTTATGCATAACTAAATAGTTCATCGAACTCTTAGTATTTTAATTGCTTGCCACTGAGTGTTTCACACATCAGTTTTAGTGTGACTACAAATTGGGCATTTGTTGCTTCTTACCAGAAATTTGGTAGGGATCAAATATTGTTCACTTATGCTGTTAATTTACAAACTGAGATGCTAATCACATTGGATGCTAGCAAAAGTCTCTTGGACTCATCGTATTTCCCCAAAATGAGTGAGCTTTCCCAGTTGGTGTTTCCACATAGTATGTCTAGGGCAACAGAAGATTCATAGACCAACGATGAAAAATATTCACTCTAGTTAAACTTGATGACTGATGACAGACATAAACATAGTTGAAGGCAACCGCAAAACGATTCTTTGACCAGCCCCTTTTATTTTATAATCCATTCATTCGGTTTTTTATGGTTGTAGAAAATATTTCGCCTGATATTTTTTGTTCGACTGTGCGCACGTACTGTGCTATGTTGGCCTACTACTCCATTCTTGAAAGCATATAAACCTTATTTAGGTGGACGTAATAAATTCTATCCTTAACTAACCATTGTTTTAAAATGCTCAAGAAGTTCACAGTACATTACAAAATACAGCTAAAGATGTCAAGCTATTTTTTTATCAAATAAAGTGCTTTCTCTATCGGCTGAACACTTTTAGTGGTACAAACACTCATCACCGCAACATTTTGATAACAGTTCAGATGGCTGCTTAGGTTATTTATTGGTGGAAATATATGCATATTTGAATTGCTCTAAAAATAACCCATTTTTTCATCATATTTTTCATGGGTTATGGATTTTTTGGAACTCCTTCCAACATAAAGCGCTGAATTTTTTAATACTTTCAATTAATTGTTAGATACACAGTGAAGCAACACATTGGATTTTGTTATAAACTCAGGTGAAAAACCTGATTATCTAAGGGTTTTGGCGCAAACGCTTAAAAAGCTTTCTACGTGGCTTCTTTACGCAAAGTGTTATTTTTCCTACTTGGTGACAATTTTAAATTATAAGAAGTGCTTTGTTTCTTAGCTTTTGTGTCGTGGTCATTGTTTTTAGAACACTAAAAATAAGTGGCACAGTTTTTACGGAGTTTGAAGAGCTGTTGCTGGCAGAAAATACACCAACTTGGTCTAAATAAGTTTTGAAAAAAATTATGAAGAATAAATGGAAAGCAATCTTAAATATTACTCTCAATTGATAGGAAGGTGAAGTGAGGGATAATTTGTTTGTGGTGAAGTCAGAAATTTCCAGCAAGACAGTTAGTACTTAAATGAGACACGACCTTTGAAAATGAAAGATCCGGACACTCAAAAGCAGGGGAACCGTAGGTAACATCGATGCGACGTAAATAAAAGGGTAAGTGCAATAGTTGAACTAATTAGTCGTCATAGAGGTCAAAACGTCTATCTAAAACAAGTAAGGTAACCAAAATAAGTCTATTTAATACCAGCGAAACAGTTAGGTTGAATGATTGTATCGTTATAGTTTCACTGGTATTTTGTTATTTTGTGTTTTCTAATGGTGTATTCACTTTTGTTATTTCTATTTAATTTGATTAACTATGTTAATTTCTTCTTTACATATTACTGAGAATTAAGAAAATTTAAGGATATTCAGTAGCGCACAAGTTCGGTTTTAATCACTTGATAATTAAGACGTTTTAGTCTTGGTACAGTATGAAATTAAAGATTCTAGTTGACGATGATAATAAGCAAATAACCTCACAGGTAATTCTAAGGAAACCAGTACGTTACCAAAAGATAGGTTAAAATAAGTTTAAATGTCACATTGTCTTAAGTGGCTTTTACTATCATCTTTAGAAACAATAGTTATCAAAGTGTTCTCTTGTGAATAGTATATTTGTTGAAAAATGTGTAGTATGATTTAATTCAGAATAAATTTTCTAAACGAACACATGAGCTTACAAACTGTTATTGGCTATGGATTTTGTTAACAATTGCTAGAAATTAGAAATGGGGTTAATTTTTCTATCATAGCAGTTCTTTTAACATAATAAGGTTAGATGTGGGTTATTCGTTGTATAACCACTAGAGTCGCACAGCTTAAACAGCACCTGAGATCAGTTTTGGTTTTCTTTCTGAAATGTGAGGAAAGCTCTTACTTAGGTCTATTTATGCATCGGTTTTTCCCGTTGACATTATTTGTATATGATCAAGTTTGTTTTTTTGACTAAAATATGTCTTTTGGTGCATCCATTGTAACGAGAATCTTTGAGCACAATATTCAACTATTTATTTAAAGGGCACTGGCCTATTAGCTTGTATAGTGCCGTATTATGATAAATAATATATGTGTATATCTATAAAGATCATTCCTTTTTCTCATTTCAAAGCAAACATAAATTACCTGGGTTCGTTGGAATTGAAAATAAAATGTAAGTATTCATCAGGCTGAAAATCGACAAACTAAGCATATACTCTGGAGCGAATGTAATTTATTTCAAGTAGTAAGATGATTGAGCACTAAGTAATCACCACAAGTAAAATCTTTCAGGAGTAGTATTTTAAAAATAAATATGACATCACATCAAATCCGTTTATTTTTAAGATTATAAGGCAAAATCGTTGAAATAGTCAAACCAAGGTACATCGTGAAACTTCGAATTGGTAGACCGTTACTTTAAGTTGTATGAAAAGCTATAGGCACTGTGTTCAGTGATTAACTAAATCCATGAGTTGGGTTCCGAGTTAGTTTATGTGATATGAAATGTGAACAACTCATAAAATGTTTATTCAATCTATTAGGCTTTCCCTCAATGAACGTGTGAATATTTCTGGAGTATTGTAAACCTTGATAACTGAAATCAAAGAATTTTCTTTAGAAAATGTGAATTTTTCCACATCTAACTTCAGTTATTCACAAACTATAATTGTTACCACTCCTGAGTTTCAAAAGTCGACTTAAGAATGAATTACTCTAATCAAACCAGTTATCAATTATCTAACTCAAAAGAAACTTATTTAAAATTAAGTAAATAACAACAGATGCATCTGTTGCTCACCTGATATAGTTAGCAATTACTAAGTGTTATTGAGGAAAATTCATAGTTCAGTGTGTTTAAAGAGAAATAACTTAAGCATTTGTTGCACGAGTTTAGTCGCTATTCTTTTAAGAACCGTTCATCAGACCAGAAGTGATTTAAACAAGTTTTATAGTGGTGAGAACAAAATAAGACAAAAACTAATAGTTTATAGTAGAGAAAGAAACGCAAGCCACATTATACGAGATGAGTGCTATGAAACAAATTAGTGATTTGAAGAAGGTATTAAGAGGACATGACAAAATATATATTTCATTTTCCTTCGATAACAGTAAAAATTAATTTTATTATTCAATCCCTTTTCATTGCAGTTCATGTATAAAACTCATCACTATCTCTTAGTTGGTTTACTTTCATGATGTAAGTAGTTAATGTGTTGGAATAAATGGGATAACAACTAAACATAGTTCTAGATTGCACAAGTAAATGTGTTCATATGAAGTTTTAATGTAGTTAACAAACCATTTGGTCTACTGACCGAACTAGTAAACTAGTCTTATTATTTCGACAATATAAACATATAGTTATTATTTTTCGAGGTGGATTCGTGGAAAGCTCCATCAACTGGAGGATCAATGGGAATAGAGGAGTGGTGGGGATCTGTTTTATCGTTTATTGTAGCTTCTAAGAAGTGGGAAATAATGACTACATAAGGATTATAATCCAGAACATTTACTAGACCAAAATAATATTAGTTACTACTCAGAGATTAACCAATGTAGAACATAAAAAATATATTTCATATAAGTGAATATTACTACCATGTATAAGTTTTTATGTCCGTTAATAATCATATGTGCATTTCTTTTTCATGAATTATTTAGGTGGCAACGTATACGTGATAAGCCTTTTTGGGAACTAGTCAATGGACAATTTCTTTTAACATTTATACATCGATTCCAGGACCCACGTGGGAGTATTACGTATTTTGCATTTTGTTATCCATGGACATATAATGAAATGCAAACACAATTAAATAAATTAGATAGCATATTTCATTACAATAAAAATGAAAACGTTAATGTAAATAGTAAAAGTTTATGCAATAAATATAATACGATGAAGTTGAGTCAAATAAGCAATAATGATAAATCTGAAGATACTTGCAAAAGTTCACCAGAATTTTTGACATCAGCGAATATGAATAAAACAAAAATGAATAATGGTACCGTTGATATTACTCTGACTTCATTTGCTCTATCTTCCTCCCTTTCCTCCTCCTCCTCCTCCTCCTCATCATCATCATCATCATCATCATTATCATCATCACCTTCTTCCTCATCATATGATCCAAAATGTTTCCCAGAAAATGATTTATTTGATAAGATTTATTTTCATAGAGAATTACTTTGTTATAGTTTAGAAGGAAGAAGAATTGAATTATTGACAATCACTGATTGGTCCGGATGTACTTTTGTTGAAGAGGATCGCTTTGATCCATTATTATTTCCTGATTTAGATAAATCTAGACCATGGAAATTTACAAATAAAAAGGTTAGTCGATAAATGTTATCAGACAATAAGATAAATATCAACATGTGAAATGGTTGTAGCCGAAGAACGTGTTTTCGATACCGCATTATTATAAACACAGTTCATGTTTAATATCGAAGAAAAGTGTAATTGAGAAGTATATCACCATTCAAAGCCTGTGTTAAAAAACGCTCTATGCAGAGTGAGAACACGTAAACACCTCTCTCCATTGTTTTTTTGTTCAAGCAGGTTAGGCAAGGTTATATAATTAGCTCCTAACGGAGTATGCTTTATTGATGGTAATTTATTCTTTAAGAAAATTGTCGACCGAGAGTATGGAGATGATGTCTTTCTGTGTAGTGATAATCTTGATGATGGAATCTCACTGAACCGGATTTATGTCTGTAAGTACTTAGCACTTACCTATTAGACTACTGAGTTAACATCCAGTGGTTAAGCACCGGCTGAGGACCTAAAGCTTACGGGTTAGGTTCTCATTGAGGTTGTGAGTATTCAGTGACTAAGAGTCCTATACTGAGGCAAAGCATTTGTCTAGCGTCACTTGTCTTCTAGTGTCCCCCCTATAAAGGTTAATCCATGGAAAAAGTACCTGCTGAAGATAAAATACTAATAATCGAAGAGTCACTTAATATCAAAGGTGTAGATATCTGAATAAACAAGGAAATGTTTTTACGTTGAGTTCTAGAGATTCAATAAACCTTCATTCGTAGAAGATTTTGCGTTCTCATTTCACATTGTAGGAACTACAGTGGTTCTCATTTCAAATTATAGGCCAAAGGGCCGCGGATACTACACTCTATGTACAAATGAGCTTCTACTCGATGGTTATACCTCAGTACTTTATAAAAATAATACGTAAAGCATTTTATTATTTAACAAGTAAGTTGATTTTGTTAATCCTATTTATGATTTATAGTCATTTACATTTTGTTTATCTCACATTTTAGGTTGTTTTTGTTAGTGCTCGTGTACATCCCGGTGAAACACCATCGAGTCATGTATTTAATGGATTATTGGAATTTTTACTACGTATAAATGATCATCGTGCATGTGAATTACGTAAACATTATATATTTAAATTAATACCAATGTTAAATCCAGATGGTGTATTTCATGGTCACTATAGAACAGATACTCGTGGTGTCAATTTAAATCGAGTTTATTTAAAACCTGATTTTCTATACTATCCATCAATTTATGCAACTAAAGCTTTAATTATTTATTATCATACAAACTATGGAACATTAAAATCATATGCACCATTTTTAGATGATATTTTTAAGCAGAAATTATATACTACTACCAACTATTTTAAAACAAACTCTGAAAATATTACTATCAAAAATACAAATAATCAACCTCGTATTATTGATAAATTATCACCTAATCAAACAATTTTTCCATGTGAAGGTACAAAACAGACAAAAGAGAAAATATTATCTGATTGTGAAACAAAAGAAGTAAAGTCAATTGTATGTATATTATTGCACATTTATTGTTTTTGTTGAGTAATAAAGTGTTTGTAAATATTTCTCTGAGGTTGCATTATACATTGTCTAGATAATATGTTAAGATTGAAGGTAGTAGTTACTAGATAAGAGTTTCAGAATAAACTTCAGCAATGGAATACAAGTACATCCAGTTTACGAGTTTTATACGAAACGAGGATCATGTGCTTCGTTCAAGTATTAGCCACTATTCAAAATATAAATAATGGTAGTTCCACTTACGGAAGATTATTAGCATGTAGTTAATTCCAAATACATTGTATGATATTCGTAATAAAGTAAGAGAAATTCTAGGAACATTTCTAAGTGACGATAAAAATGGAGTAATGCTCTTAGTTATGTTACCTCTTACTTCTTCCTAACAGTTTTAACGTTTCTTCATCTAGCCCAAAGTTGTACCATCACATCGGGTATATTGTGTAATCAGATAATCACCATTATTTCATAGTTAGGTCAAGGAATGGAGACAAAAACAACGAATAACTAGTTTTGATTGTGAGTTTTTCTTATAAACACAAAATTGGTATGCCTAAAGTGTGTTTGTTGATCTATTGGAAAACGATAATTCTTATAACAGAAGTTATGAAGAAATATTTCCTGATACGCATCAACTTTAATATCATTTACAATTGTAAAAAAACTGGACATGATTCTATTGTAATAATATGTATTTGTATGTACTCCTTGTCGATGTTTAGATAAATTCAGTTGATGAGTTTCAGAGTGAAACTTGTGTCGTAGATTCTGCTTCTAGGCATAGTCTAAATTTAATAATGTTGATATTCTATAGTTGCTTAAACATTTTTATTGTATTTAATCAATGAAATACATTTCAGACTAATAATGTTCCTTGTATATATTTTATTTTTTCCGAAGAAGCAATTAACTTCAGAAAATTATTCGATAAAAGAATATTGTACAACCATTAAACAAGATGAAGAAAAAGAAAAACCACATTTAAACTTTATAAATGATCATCTGTCAACCACGTTTGAGCAACAAACGGATAATCAAAATATCTTCTTGACAAAATTATTTGATACTGGATTATCATCATCAATAACATCAAACTCACCGTCGAAAACAGATAGTCTTGCAGAAAAAAATCTATCTTCTAAGTATTTGTCACCTATTGAACATATGTTTGCTAGTTCTGGTTCGACAAAAAGTGATGAAAATACATCGATTGTTCATCGGGTCAACTTTCCTATTTCTGACACTGATAAGAATTCAGTCACTAATCAATACGATACAGATTTAAGAAGTACTTCAAATTATTTTCATACTATTACTGAAACGAATAATTCACCACAGAAAACATTATCACGATTAAACTATTCAACGTCAATTTCAACACCATCTCATGACACTGAATTAAATAAAAAAGTTTATAAAAATGTAAAACCTTCAAAACTAACTAGACTTCCAGTAACATGTAATACAGAATTTGATTCTCAAAAATCTCTTGAAGATTGTCATGCAGCATCCCGAACTCAAGATGCAATATCAAAAACAAGTAATTTAGTACCATTAGTTACAAAACTTACTACATCAACACTAAATTCCAATGTTGCAAAACATTCAAGTTCAGATGATGGAATATCTAAGAAATTTAGTAACCAATATAGACATAGAATAGCTGAACAAAAAACACTAAATCAGTCAAATTACATTTCATATTTTGATAAAAATAAACGCCGTTCAACATTAAAAGTTGATTATCTTCCTTATTTTTTAATGTGAGTTGATTTGTGTAGTTTTAGAAGCAAATGCTTTATGCATCTCTTTTATGCATCTTTTCTGTAATTGTAATAAGGCAGTCATTTATTTTTTCCGATAAGTGGGCTCTTTGCATAAATCTTACGATAATGCCATCGACTTTCTGAATGGTCCATTCCTGTAGACATAGGGCAAATAAATTTATGTTTTTTAGTATAGGTATTTGTGGAAATTGTAGTATTTTCAGTTGAATTTACGAATCAGTCTAAGCTAGACCATTATTGAAAACCTGAAAGCATTGGGCGGCCTTTTCATCCCAGTATGAGACTTCTCGGCAATGCCCACCCACGATCCTACACGCGGAACTCGAGGCTAGGGTCTTTGGTCCTTATTATATTGAATAAGCAGAAAAATATATTTTATAGTTTCAAATGTCTAAATATTTTTTTAAGATCCTCGGCTAAAAATACAAGGTTCTTGTACAAGGTGTTAAGAGTGATTGAGAAAACAAGAACGACTGATCAATTGGTGAAATGTTTTTTATCTCGTTAAGTGTAAAATAAGTATATTGAGTAGTTTTAAAGTGAATCTTTAATGGTCTATACACAAATGATCACGAAAGAACTAAATCAATCCATTATTTACAAATATTTCTATTGACTGGTTACTTTTAACCAACATTTCTTTGATTTTTTTTCTATGTGATTATGTTTTTTTGGTAAATACTGAGGATTTGTGTTTTTAAGGATTGGTGTTTGAGAATTCCAAAGGAACCTTATTAAATACATTTAGTTTGTGGTCATGGATTTGTAACAATAATACAGGATGCTTAATAAACAATAAATCAATATCAGTCTCACATATTCTGGTACCGTTTTAATTTAAGGAGTTCTTTGTGTCATTTAAACAATTCATGTGTGATTAAACTTTGATCTAAAATGACTTCAGTGTATTCAATAGATTTAGAATAATGTTCTCGTTACATTTGAAATTTTCAACGTCTGTTAACAATTAAGCGATCTACTCGATTTTCTAACATACATGTACATATGATAATCAAATGGAACTTGAATATCTTATAGAAATAACTACCACGTATGTTTTCAGAAACAAATGTACAGTATAGTATCAATAAATACTTCATTTCGAATGAGTTTTCTAGAATATTAGCTTAAACAAATAAGAAAAAGACATAAAAGAAAACTATGACATTCTTCATGAGTCTACCATATACGAACTTGACTCGATTTAGTTAAGTATATGTAAGTTAATTGGTTTACGATTACCAAAGTCCTCCATCAACGATTAAATATATGTTATTTATCCAGTGAGTTATAATAAACGTGAATACTAGCATAAGTGTTGAATGACTTAAGTTGCAACAAAGAAAATTAAAAAATGTACAGGTGATAAAAAAGGAGAATGACAATAATTTGAAAATAAAAAATGAAATTAAGGAATTGCCATGAATAATTCTAATCTGCTATTCTAGATTTAAGGAGATATGATATACAAGAGGTGTCAGTTGAGTAATCCTTTTCGTTTTAACGAAACAAATTCTATTTTATATGCTACAACTTGTGCCCTGTGAGCCCTATTTCTTGTATAACGTAACAACACCACCAATTAGAGAGCAGTGAATTATCGATCGGACCAATGACGAATAAAACCTGTACGAGCAGTCTAAAGTACTTATCGGTCCTGGTTCCTGTCTAGCCCAGCCAGTTAAATCCAGAACACTAATTTCAGCATCCGCAATATGAATCATTTATTTCAAACATACAGGGTTTATATACCAACTAGACAGATCATATCGTACCATAAAATATGAAACAACATTTGTACAAGATCTATTCAAAAGTGTCCGTGATTGTGGGAAGTAGTAATCAATAGACAGAGTGTAACTGAAGAATGGCAAATTGTATAATAATAGTTCATAGGTCAAAATAAAGCTTATGGTAAGAGGAACATGAATACGAATAGTTTAGTTACTTAACAATTATACAATAAAAATATACGTATAGTATTAGACCAGAAATAGATTCATTCAGTTGCCATTTATTATTCTCATCAGGATATAACATTATATTAAACTTAATTAATTTCAATGTTAACTTTAAACTTTCATGTTTAGTTTAATTATTATACTCATATTCTTTTTTGTGTGTAGGAAATGGAATAGACCATATGAAAAAACCATAACAACCAAACATTTTTCAAAATTAACTTTAGAAAATTTGAACATTGTCAATACACAAATTAATTTAAGTAATAAAAATGAAAGAAATGCTAAGCAACAACATTTGGAATCGATCAACACTATGCATTCATCTAATAAATTTAAATCTTATTTAAAACATGAAAAAATAAAAAAACGAAAAATTAATTTTATAAATGAAAATAATTCAATATTGAATGCAAAACAGATTACTTATAATAATAATAATAATAATAATAATGATACAATGACTACACTTATCCCATTAGAAGATACTATAGAATATGATTACAATTACAAGATTAATACAAATAAAATGATTGTAAAAGACAGTATGATAATAAAGTCAACAAATCATACAGTGAATAATAATAGTAATCAAATGGAGAATATTTCTAATGAAGAAGTTAAGCAATTAATAAATGAAGAATTTCACAGTTTCGATACATCTCATTCTGTTTTGGGCAATGAAGGATCAGATTTAGATGCAGATGATTACAGTAAATAGAAAACAAAACTTTTATTTATTTAGTTATTTATTTCTATTATATATTTTAAAGTGTGTTGTTATATTTTGTTATCGTGACATAACTATTGTAAATTTCAATGTATCAGCATTGGAATATAACATTTATTTCTGTTTTTAATATATCACTACTTTCAATAATCATATATATATATATATATATATATATATATATATATATATATTATTTATTATTTTAACACATAAATATTGGTACAAGAATGCACCAAATACATATGTGCAACACAAATCTCATTCGATATGTGTGAGGGCTGTAATATTGTCCGGGTGCCCAAACCGAAGCAGGTGGTTTTCTTGGGAGGCCACTCCCCGAGCCTTCGAACTGAAGGTCTGATCCACAAGGCAGTGGAGCATCGTAAGGAGATGCAGTCCCATGGTAGCCGGTGACCAACGATTGGTTCATACGCCATTTGTTCCCGCAGGATACTGGAGCCAGCCCATGTGTACCATTGGTTTGGGATCTGGTTAAAGCGCCAGACATTCGCTTTTCGTCCTCTCATTTTCGTAAACAACAATCCGGCCACAAGAAGGCAGTGAGTAGGAGTTTCCTGGCAGAAGCTGTATACGCGTGGCCATGTGAGAGCATTTGAAGAGGGAAAGCGGACTCTGCCCACTCTCGGCCATACCAGGGCATTTGGGGGCATATATATATATATAACAGTTGGAGATACTGAACTGTCAGACAACATATTGTTGAACTGTTTTGTAGTGAAACTGTAGTGAACAAGAACACGAGTGGGGACAATCGAATGTAGTTGACGCGAAATTACGGAGTATCTCAATAAAATCAGAGAACTATATGGTGAATAGTTAATTTGCGAAATACCAATTCATCGTCTCGAATTTCACTGTTCCTTTTGCAAATATATGTCGATTGTCTCAGATTTCATTATTCATGCGTTTCCATACCAATTGTATTCTGTTTCCGTTCTTTCCTTATCGATCTTCTACTAAAATACATTCTATATCTGACCAGAGTTATATACTACTTATATGAATATAAGTAACCCAAACCACAAAACCAACAGTAAGTTAAGTAAATTTTCAAATAAGCTTTTAAATATCATTTTAATGGTGAAAACATTGGGACTCCCGTGAATTATACATCAACTGAACTAAACATATAAGAACTTTCGTCTAAATTTGACCAAATAGTTGCAAAGCATTTGGGTGCCGAGTTGATGTGAGACATTAGAAGAACAATATATTTGTAAAATTTTAGCGAATAGACTTTTGAAGTAAATCCAACGTTTCATCTAACAATCTGATCCAAGCTTTTTAAAGAAAATATAGTCAAACATCAAAATGATCGAATATTTGATTATATTTTCTTGAAAAAACTTGGATCAGATTGTTAGACGAAACGTTGGATTTACTTCAAAAATTCATTCGGTAAAATTTTACAAATATATTCTTCCTCTTGAAGTAAACATAATTTCATTTGATTTTATTCTAGTTTTCCTAACTATTTTCAGTCTTTTCTTTAACTTTTTATTCTATCAAGAATCATTTTATGATGTAGTTATCTCCGTCCAAGGACTATTCAGTTATGTGTAATTCAAAGTTCATCATTTACTAATTCTGTTAATATTTTGTGTTTCTAAGATTTATCAAGAAAAGAATTGTTACATAATACAGATTATTGATTATTATTATTATTATTATTATTAACATTATTATTATTGTTTTCTAATTAACCTTTAATCAATAGATGATATCGAAAGAACCATTATCGATGAAGATTTATCAATCAATCCATATTATGTATCTATCTTAGAATCTATTGAAAAATTAGTTAGAAAAGAAAAGAATCAAACAATCGATTCAAGTGAAATTATTAATCCAATAAATATAATAAATGATCATTTAAATATAAATGAATTAAATAGAATTCAATTATTAAAAGAACAATTACAACAACTTAGAAAAGCTGATCATTTATCGGATATTGATTATTTACATATTAATCAAAATGATGATAGTTCTGTTGTATTTTATTTTGATTTACATGGACATTGTACAAAACGTGGTTGTTTTCTTTATGGAAATTGGTTAGAAAATGAAAATAAAATGGTAATCTAATAAACAATTTTATGAATTTTTTTATTTTATTTATACATTTAGTTTTTATTTAGAAAAAATTAACTTTCTTAATATTTAACTAATTGAATATATTTTGGTTAACTAGAAATAACATGGAACTATTTAACTGTTTCAAAATTCAACTATTTTATGATCGTATATAAAATGATATCAGGAAAGTATCTTTGAAATTAGATTTAGTAGAACAGTACGCTCATCTATTTGACTCTTTCTCTCTTAATAGATGACGTTATTTTTAGAGTCCTGCCTTTTGCATAGATTAATAAACTAAACTATTTTTATCTGACTATGTTATTGCACTGTATAACAACTTTAGTAGAGGTACTACTACATAAGGTTCTCTGTTATTTGAGTAATTAATTTGATAATCTGAATTGAGGATTCTGTCTTCTGTATTATTCGGATCCCATAATAAAAGCGGAAAATTCAATAAGTATATTATTCATAAAAAATTATATTGAATTTCAGAAAACCTTTTAAATAATAGCATATTATTATCGGTAGGGTATTTTTGTGGAGATTGAGTTGAGTTCATGAATCAATTAAAGCTAGACCACCATGGAAAACCTGGAAGCACTTGATGGCCGCTTCGTCCTACTATGGGACTCCTTAGAAGTACGCACTCACGATCCTGCTCGCCGGATCCGAACCCATTACCTTCAGTCTCGAGCGCGAGCGCTTAACCCCTATACCACTGAGCCAGCATCAAACGATGTTATTGTTGAACTTCAACCAATTAATGAGATTGTACCACCGCCCACCATTGTCTTTAGTAAGTTACTATCTCACAACAGACTCGGTTGAACTCCATTGGTCCCACATTAGGACGAATTGGCTATCCACTGCTTCCAGGTTTTCCATGGTGGTCTAGCTTTAATTGACTCATGAACTCAACTATTAAATAGCATATCAGTCACTAGTACTCGATTTTTTATATGTGACTGCTAAAAATACTTTGATATTTGACTAAAACGACTTTGAACGTTTTGTTTACACACTCTCAAAGTTCAGCTTTCATTAGTATTTGGTTTATAGTCAATTTTAGAACCTAGATTTTCAATAAATTATAAAATAATTTTAAAACAGACTAAATACCACTGTCTTGGCTTTAAAATTATATAACAAAAGCAAACTTTAATGTGATTTATCTCGACGAATGTGTCACAATAAATTATTGATAAGCACAACTAACCATATTTGAAGATTCTATGCAAAGTCAGTGCCTAGAAAATGAATAAACGTACTCGAATATCAATGGATTTACTTCAAACTAATACGAGTTAATGTCTTACTTTAGTTTATTCTCTTAAATTATGATAGTACCCCACTTTAATAGTGCTTACTTACTTACTTACTTACTTACACCTGTTACTACCAATCGAGCATAGACCGCCGGCCAGTATTCTCCATCACACTCTGTTCTGGGCCTTCCTTTCTAGTTCGATCCAATTGTTGTTCATTCTTGCTTTAATAGTATTCAATTACAATTGTCAATTCAATAACAATAATGGTAATTTTAAGAGTTATAAATCAATGACCAATTCAATAAGTTAACAATCATAAATAAAATTCTTTATAGACAATTAACACATAAAAGAATAATGATTATAACAGCTTTACATTAGTTTTCTGAAAGGTAGATGCTGTATACAATTAACTGAAGGGTCTTAAAAATATTGAAGTGACAAAAACAGAGTAAAATGAGGAAACAGCTTCACATTTCTTTTGTTACCTGATGTTTTACTCGCTGTAAAAATTAAAAGTACTTATTTTCATACGAAATTATATTGTTTTTTTTGTATATATTCCAAATGAGGATGAAATATTTGCCTGAAGCTCTGTAGTTTTTTAAAGATTTCCCCAACTAACATCAGACTATGATTATTATTATTTTGGATATGTTTTTAACAAACTGTAATGTAAGTAGTAATGTTTATAATTTCTTTTCTTTTATTTAAATAAATTTATATTTACTTAGGTAGATAATGTTTTATATGCTTTATTGGTTGGAGTGAATTCAATCTACTTTGATTTCGATTCATGTAACTTTAGTTTACGCAATATGTATCAAAAAGATCGTAAAGGAACTTCAACTAAAGAAGGTGCCGGTCGTGTTGCATTATGGAAACATTTAGGACTAACACATTGCTATACAGTTGAATGTAATTATAATTCAGGTATGTTTCATTGACTTACTAAAAAAATGTTTTTTAAACAAAAATCACTTTACACCAGTACTGATGTCAGTTTGAGCAGTATCATTTAAACATAGTAAGCACAAAAACAGTCAATAACTAAATAAGTAAACAAAACTGTGTACAGACTAATGGGCTCTGGGTAAAAGGTGAATAGTCATAATTTGCCATACAATTCTTTGCTGTTACTTCTGAACGCTCGCTTCTTCCAACTTACGCACATTTATAACATTCTTTGAATCCAAAACTTTTTGTCATATTTAGTGAAAATTCCAATATATCTACAGAAGATATTTACTTATACAATCTTATAGGCTTTTCAAACAATCTAACCATATTGATAAGCTATCAATACCACACTACCTCTTGTGATTGTGTAATAAGTGTGAAGCATACAAAGGATTCAAATGACAGGAAACACTTAACACTCTTATTTTAGCTACTCAAATTAACCAAAGCTTTACTAAAATATAAAAAACCTGCTATAAATTTGAATGTATAACAAATCAAGTAGTGTATCATACAAATGATAATTGAAGCAATTTGGAGACTCTAAGATAACTTTTACATTAGTTTTGGAGTTCTAAACTTTATATAAATAATGAAGCATGAAATCAACAATCAAGTTCATAAAACTCTACACTTAAAAATACTCTATAAGCTAACTCAGGCTAACATTTCCTATTTCTTCAAGTGACCTAATCTACTCTTATGATATTAATAATAATTGAAAATCAGTGAATTGCTTTAGATGTATTTAGATTTTCTTACATTTGCACATCACATATCTTTTCTGACTTATCACAATGCTGATAATTTGTATTGCAAGCAGTAAAATTATGCTTATAGAGTTTACAATGACTAATAATCTTAATCATTAACATAAACAACAGAGAAATACCAATTATTATAGTTATTATGTAAATAAACTGATGGATATGAATTCAGCAGTTCAGTAAGCAAAACTTGGTAAATGAACATTTACACATTGGTTTCAAGTATTAATGAGAATGTAGACAATGATATTCAATGACATTTAGCTAATAGATCTCAAATAGGACGAAACACATCGTTTGTATTTTACTGGCAAAAGTATAATAAATTCTAAAACTGTTCTCGTTATCGTCGTTATTATAATATCAATTATGACTATTTAAATAGTATATGATTTAGCATGAAGTTAACGGAATATATCCATTGAGATATAAAATAACTTGAAGTGTGTATTAAAAATATTTTTTCCATAACCTGCGGAATTAATGTAGAGAATGAACATCGCGTACTGAACAGTTCTGAAACCGTTTGAAGTCAGATCATAATTAATAATAATAATAACTAATAACAAACGACAGAAATACTTAATGTCTGACCATATACATTAGAAAATTCAAAATTATCTTGAAATTGCTTCACTATTATAGAGAATCTCAGAAATTGTAAAGTTCTTAAACTGTTTGTTCGTCTGTATATCATCAAGAAAATGAATGATGATAGTTTTCAATAAACATGACCTTAATTTTGTTTACGAATACAAAGTTGATTTAACCAGTAAATTCATTTCACTAATTTTACGTGGTATAACTTCAACCGAAATGTTTTTGACTATATAATAATGTGAATTGAGAATAATTATAACTAAAACGTTTTTCCAACTTAGTATAAGAGATTTTTAAAGATATAAACTGTAAAAATAAAAACAACTAAAAAATATTTAATTAATATTACATTTCATTTAGTGGTAGTGTTCAAAACCCATTAGGCATTAATCATTCTAATTTGGATTACGTTGTGAATTCGTTTAGTTTAATAATATACTCGCCTAAAAGTTACAAGCAAAGGATTATTTATTTATTTGAATACATAAATGATGCTACAAAAAGGCATCGAGTACATATGCGCCACATAAGTCACTTGATTTGTATGTGGGCTGTGATACTGTCCAAGTGCCCAGACCAAAGCAGGTAGTTTTCTTAGGGAGCTACGCCTCGAGCCTTCGACGTAAAGGTCTGATCCACAAGGCAGTGGAGCAATGTCAGGAGATGCAGTTCCATGGTAGCCAGTGACCAATAACTGGTTCATACTCCATTTGTTTCCTTAGGATACTGGAGCCAGCCCATGTACGCCATCGGTTTGGAATCACGGTTTTCCAACTCCCCTAGGTGGACTCTCCTTTTCCACTGACCCGGTTAAAGCACCAGACATTTGCTGATAGTCCTCTCAATTTTGTAAACAACACCCCCGCCACGAGAAGGCAGTGAGTAGGACTTCCTTGGCAGTGGTTATATGCGCGTGGTCATGTGAGAGCATTTCGAGAGGAAGAGCTGACTCTCCTCACCCTCGGCCATACCAGGGCATTTAGAGGCAATGCAATAACTACTGTTTTAACTTGCTATAAATTTTGTATTTATTTATTTGAAAATGAAATTATTTATTCACAAACTTAACAATTTATAAACTTTCAAGTTTACAAGTTATTACTATACAGTCCTAACCAAACGTTTTGTGAGATCAACAGATAAAACAAGATTGTTTTACAATGACACTTGATGGGTTACTCATGATGTGTTTTTTCTTTTCAAATAATCTACATCATTCTTCTAATTTATTTTAGTATGAAATATACAGACATCTACAACTAAAAATGTTTTCTTTATGATAAACTTAATTCATTCAATTGAATTATGATAAATGAATAGGAAACGTAGTGAAAGTTTTTGTATATATATATCTCTAAGATGTACTATAATATCATATTACTAATGACATTACAAGTAGATGTAATTTGAATAAATATCTTATTCATATTCAGAGTTGAGTTAAATAAAAGCTTTCAATATAATATCTAACAATCACTATAATTTATAGGGTAATAGTGTGAATATTTTACTTATTCTTTCTCTATTTCTTTTGTGTAAATTATAAATCATTTCGTTTTTACTAAACATTGAAGAATTAATTAATTAATTTTCCTTATAAGTTCATACATTGTGTCAAGTTGTTTAACTTACATCAAATATGATAATTAGTTACTTTCACTATGAATTAATGTAATAAGTATTAGTTGAAGAAAATGTCCTGAAAATAAATAATAATTAATTATTCTTTTCATTTTATTATGTAAGTTACACTCGTTTCAGATTTATTAAGAGTAGATGTACTACTATAAATATGGGACAATTAGACATCTTTTCCATCTTAATATACTTTACATCAAAGGGAACATACAATCCTATCAAAGATCAAACCAAGATCCTGTTAATCATAATGTCTATTGTTTAAATTTTGATACCGTTTGAGATATTAATTAAGATCTCATTATATTTTAAAATAAATATATACTGTAACATATTCTAGTTATAGATTTTCTATGATATACAGAATATAAAAACATCCCGTTGTATTCAGCTAACAAGATTTTGATTTTTATCTAATTTTTCAGTTTCTCTCAAGTTATTTTTTTCTCAAATCGATATCCATCAAACAGTGACCAAAATTATTCAACATTGAACAGTTTGTCCATATTCTTTTAAGACTGTTAGGTAGTTTGTAACTACAACTTTACATGAATTGAAACATATAATATTCAGTTCTTGTGGCAAATAAGATATTTGTTGATAACCGAGTTAAAAGTCATCATTCTACATTTTTGAATTAAATTACTTCATAATGTAACGTGATTCTGTCAGTGATACCTATTTTGTTTTCTTTATGGTCAACAGTAAACTAACATCCACCTAAGTAATCTTCATACATATTTATCTTTAAAAAGTTCTTTTAAAAACCCCAGTATACGGTACTCTAATTTTTTTAAAAAATTGATTAGGAAATTTATCATCAAAGTACGTTGTAGACTTACGGATGAAAGTGATACTAAAAATACTTTATTGTAAAGTAACTTTAACATACCATACTTGAGTTGTTCATTTGACTACCAAACTAAATGTTTTCATGACTTCATCAGTCATTTAGTCAGTAACAACGTAGAACTTCGTACGTACGTACATCAGTTCGAGTTGCCATACCATATTAGCACAGAGATGCAGTTGTCGATTCAAATCCCGTAGTGGTAGAGGTAGTAAGAGTATAAGTAGTAATCGTAAAGATTAGGGTTTGAAGATGTTATTCAAGGAGCATAATTCAGTTAAATAAATTTAGAAAGAGGAAAAAAGGGACATGAAGAATTCAGAAGATTAGAATTTGGGAGAACGCAAAGAGTAGATTCACCTGCACCATTTCAAACGATTTTGAGCCACATCATTCAGGGTCTCTAACTATCGGTTGGTATCGTCTCAAGGATTACAACCAGGTAGTCTACACCTACCATTCATTTTATTAATTGCTTAAAATTGTGAAGCTTTCAATGAGAATCGTAGACCGAGATTTCATGATAATTTGTAATTACTATTAAAGCCGAATTAAGGTTTTAAAAAAGAACACATTTCTCTGTTGAAGTAAATTGTCGTTTAGTTCTTAATTGGTGATTCATACTACCACTAATTTACCTCTTTCAAGGCTTTGGTTACTCATGATTTATCTAAAGTCTGATAGATATTCACATTTTACGAACACTACAATATTAATGGAATATAAAATATATAATAAGAATCTTTAAACCAATTGTATCAAAGAAACTGAGAAATAGTTTAAATAAGTATAAATCAAATAACAGGATAATTTCCACATTCATTGTAAGATTTAGTTTCTAATCAATGTACTAATTATCTGGTAATAAAAATAATAAACTAATTTAATATTATTACTTCTCTTCAGGTCCATTACCAGGTCGTCTTTCAAGATTTATTGCTTCAGCGCATCCTAATGACAGTAAATGTTTCACACCAATCGGTGCATTTTACGGTCCTTATTGGTCTGATATGGTGAATACAGCTAGTAGCCAATCATTTAACTTTAGTTTTAATGCATCCTCAAGTACAAGTCATACTAGTCACAGTGGAAACCAAGCACTTAATGGTATACCACGTTATACTCCAGCTCATTATGAAGACGTTGGTCGAGCATTAATGATAACTATATTAGATTTTAATCAGATCAATCCATGGCCAAAAATTGCAAGTCTTGGTAGTTCAACAGCTGAGTCTAATGTTGGTATTCCTAATTTGTGGTCATCGCTACCAGAATTTCTAAATATCAATGTAATGCACTTTTTATTGTATATTTAAATAAACAAGACTTTTTAAAGTTGTTTTATTTATTCACTTATATTGTAAGGTTATATTTAAGTAGAAAGTTTGAAATTTTTCGTGAGATGGAACTATGTATTTCAAACATACAAAAGTAATTTATCAGATAACTAATAAACGGTAGGCAATAATAAAAACATCACTGTTAGTGAGTTAATATATGTGTACCCAAGCTAAATACGAACTGACAGCATAAAACATACTCTTGTTAACAAAATATTTTATTGATTGTAGATAATAAGTTTAACAACCCATTGATGTTGTTTCACGTAGCCTACATATGGTTTGCTCTATCTGAACCTATCATCTAAACTTATTATAGATATCTGAATTAATGGTTAGCATATCCAATCTTTTATTAGATTTGAGCTAATAAAAATTAAGGTATGAGTTACTTTTTATGTATCAGAAGTCAGTATATGAAAAGTAAACCTCAATGGAATATCGTTATAAAGTAGGACTAGCAAATAAGGTATCGACTAAAATGGAATAAACTGATTATTATCAGAATGGGATTTGCGGATATTGTAGTAATTTTAATAGTTGAATTCATGAGTCGATTGATTATTGATAATTAAGTATCGTAGTTAAAATTCCAAACCATCAAATTTTCATTCTGCAAATGATTTGTATATCATTATTTGCTTTGAGAATACCTTTACATTCTGCACTTGACTTCTGAGTTTGAGTCTACTCAGGAGAATTAATTCACATGATTTAAGTATAATAGTGAGGAATATGCTTTTAAACAATAGGGTTACGATCGAATAGCTCATATTTTCAACTCCAAGTGCTGTGTTAAATTACCATCATCTAATGTCATTGGCAGCTAATGATTCCTTCCAGAATTTCATCTGTTTAAATTCATCTGTGGTCTGGTGGAAGATATTTGAGTTAAACAAACAGTTTTATACCAACGAGCTTTTTAATTATATTTCCTTAAGATTTTGTAGAATTTAATTACACGTTTTAATAAATCAGATGACTGTAGGATATGAATGTACTTTAATTGATTAGTTTACGTGTAAACTAAATGAATATTAGCTTAGTTGAGTCTAACGTTGCACATATAGAAATAATCGTGATTATGCTATTTTATTGAAATTAATTAGTTCATAACATTTTTCTTGCTTAGTAAGATCAGGTAGAGAATCACTGAAAAATAGGGGTACAGTTACTGCTCAAGTCAGAAGTGAGCTCCTACCAAACAACATGAGATTGAAACCCGGAACCTTCTACTTTTGTAATAAACGACTTTATTTTCAAAAAAAGATTCTATTCATTTGAATATTTTTGGGGTTTGATGAAAGTTAAGGTTTGGTCCATAATCGTATTATCAAGATCGAACTCTTCTTTAGCTGATTTGTTTTTGTCACTCATCATAAGCCTTTATATTTAGAGAGTGGCTCACACCCACGTACCTAGTTAATGAATTGATTCAGAAAAATTATCGGGCATATTCCAAAGCTTCAATTAAGTATATAATAACTATGAATCTTAGAATTTTCAAAACTAGATTACTCAAAGGTATTCATCTGTAGAAATTTGAAGAGAACATTCTTTCTTAATTTAAAACTGAAATAATAGCATATGTAGACTGATTTGAAATAATCCCAAGTTGTTCATATGTTGTAAATATTACGTCAATTATTCTTAATAATTATATACACCTAAGTGTTAAATTTCAAGATTCCATAAGCTTGTTTATTTCCTTATTACCTAGACTTTGAGAGAATGGGTACGGAAGTATATACGAGGGATTGCACCGAACAACGTAATGAATAAACAACTGATAACCCGAAACACAGAATATCTTATATCAAAAGTTGATGATATAAGCGGATCACAAATGGTTCATAGATCATTAACGACTAACGGAAGTTCAAAAGAGGTATTAAATACTTCTTCTGTATGTTCTGAGTTTACTCAAACTTCACTTGATCAAAACGCAACGAACCTACTTACAGTACAATCAGATTATAAAAATCATTCACACCAACTAAATCCAATTACCCATAATTTTAAATGGAGTAAACATCAAAATGAGCAACCTCATTATGAATCAGTGGATTTATCTAGTTTGAATTCTGCCCCATATTCATGTATGTCATCAACATCAAACAGCAACAAAACGGTAATAGATGAAAGTCATCAAAAAAACCAGATCTCATCGAATTTGCATTATGATTATTTAGTGATGAATTGCGATACAACTAGTAAAACAATTGATCAAAACATTGAAAATGATAAAAATCTGTTAAAAGATAATACTAGTAATGATATAAATGATCAATTAACTTGTCATAAGATTGAAAATGATAAATTATTGAAAATGTAAGTTTATATTACTTATAATATTATAGTTATACAGATTTTGTTTTTATTCATTTGGTTAACATGTTTAACTTAACTATATATTGTAATCTGACAATTATAACAATAATCATTATTTTACTTAATAACCGACACAAAATGACTGTTAGTCATAGTAGTATGAAGCTAAGGTTGAGTATTTTCAATGAAAAGTCGAAATCTCTTTCAAACATATTTTAAATTTATATCAGTTAATTCCGAATTTGATCTATTATGTTCATATGGACTTATCAGATGGAATTAGAATCCATTTTTAAATGTTATTGAATTTATAATCTGTGTTAATTTCCAAATTTGTTTTATTAAAATGGGGGTTTGTGGGGTCTGTAGTAAGTTTATTAGTTGTATTCATGAGTCGATGTAAGCTAGAACATCAATGAAAACATGGAAGTACTGAACGGTCATTTTGTCCTAGTATAGGAGTCCTTATTAGTTCGCATCCATGACCCTGTGTTTAGAACTCGAATCCAGGACCTGCAGTCTCGTGCGCGAACACTTAACATCTAGACCTTTGAGCTGGCATTCAGCGGTGTCAATGTCTAACTTCAATCGATTGATGCATGGTCTTGTGCAACCATTCACCCATTGTCTAAGGTGGACACATGTCTCTAACCGACACGGATTGGACTCCACTGGTCATGACTTCTCATCAGAACTTGTGGCAAGCCCATTTGGCCACTGTATCATCTGTCTACTCATTGTAACTCAGACTCTTAATTCACTATGTTAATTTCGGTGTGTATGATCGAATGCATGTCTGCACATTAACTCTTAAGCTATCCTCCTATTGGTTTCAATGTGCAGATAATCGATAATTTATCCACACCCGATTAACTCTCAAAAATATATATGGGTTTTAAACACACATACTGACTCACTCACTCTGTTTCATCGTGTGCTTGCTCAACGTACGCTTGTGGATTTTTATTAATCATTAACAATAAATTATCTCTATAACTGGTGTTCAGGCTTCTCAATAATCTCGAGTAAAATCCGTAATTCTACTAGGAGATTAAGCCTACCTAAAATACTCAGTTAACGGGATATTATTTATTGGAGTCAGATATTGAGGACATTAGCCTCTACAAACTCCAGGATGTGCACCGCCGATGAGTCATATACTAGGACGAAACGACCGTTCAGTGCTTCCAGATTTTAATTGGTGGTCTAGCTTACATCGGCTCATGAATACAACTATTAAAATTTCGAAAGTGACTAAACGAACCATTAGACATATAAATCCTTATAGCAACAACATACAGCATGCAGACAAATAGAAAGTGGTCAGTTTCTGAATATATGATTGTTTTTTATTCATGCATCTGTCTTAATTTGTATCAGCCCTTCTTCCTGCCTAGCCCTGCCTGTTGAATCCAGAACACAAATCTCAGCCTGCGCGATATGAATCGTTTATATCAAACATACTGGGTTTATATACGAGCCAAACATATCACATCACACCATAAAATAGAAAATACCATTTGCACAAGATCTAGTCCAATGTGGCTGTGAATGTAAGAGACTGTAATTAATAAACTGAGCATAACTTAAGAATAGTAAATCATATAACAGTAATCTATAACTCAAAATAAAGCTTAAAAAAAGCGGAACATGAATATGCATAGTTTAGATACTTACCAAATATACCATAAAAATATATGCATCGTATTGGTTCATAAATAGTTCTCAAAAGTTACCATTCATAATTCTTATCGGGATAAAACAGATGGTTGTGGTATTACTCTGAGTTTCATCTCCATATAGTGGAACTGTCCTGACGTTCGTGTTGAAGATTCTGTGATATTGGTTGACAGTTGTTTAGAGTTGCATATGTTCTTCAATTGTAGAAATGCCGCTCTTGCTTTACCAATCTTCGAATTTACATTTGCATCAGATTGACCTCGTCCATCAACGATGCTGTTCATGTATAATAATTATAGTCTCTAGGTCGAAATAAAGCCCATAATAGGAGGAATATGAATATTCATAGTTTAGTTATTTAACAATTATACAATAGAAACATATGTATAATATTAGACCATAAATAGATCCCAGCCGTAACCATTCATTATTCTCAAAGGAATATAGTATGCAAAACAAATCTATTTTGATTTTCTCACTTTATAAACAATAAACATATTTCATCAAAACAAAATATTTGTTGTAAACTAAGATTATGGTGCCCAACAACTGATAATACGTGTTTGTAACTTAAGACAAAATCAATCCTATCCTCACAGAATTCACATATATCAATAAGAGATGGATCAATTATAGTCTTAAATATGTTGAGTCGGCTTTCGGAGAACTTCAACGGAGCCTCCAGGGGCCCAAAAGGAGTCGAAGAGTCCTAGCCAATCAGAGCATGATGGAGCATTCTAGAATTCCATCATGGCGTGCTACTATTGGTCAGTAGCATAATATGTCGCTAACGGATTGGCTGAATTATGATGTTGATTTAACAAACGTTAACATCTATGAATACCCATGTTTTTCTGTATAAGAATGAACCTTGGGATAAAGTATTTTCTCTCATGCTTGGGTCTTCTCTCTGGTGTTTAGGACGCTGTATAGTTCTAGCTTGCGGGTTATCAGAATAGCTTAGGAACGAATATAGCGTCCAATCAGCAAGACTTAACAAAATATCAATAAGAAGATCTAAACGATCAATTTAAAAAAATCGATTAAATATTTATTACATTTTAAATCATTTATAATATCTTTTAAATATTGTTTTTTTATTCTTTTATTTTCTATAGTATATCTGAAGATAATGAAATAATTAATAAAAATTGTATAACAAATAAAAATAAAATTCATTTCTCACTTAATGACAAACATTTATTAAATAAAAAATTAAATCAAGAATTAATTAAAACAACAGAATATAATTCATTATTATTACTAACAAAAAATAAAAAATCTTTATATAATATTAATAATAACATATCAATTATCAATAATAATAATAATAATCAATCATCATCTAATATGATCCTATTTTCATTGAATAAAATCAATAAATTTAATAATAACAAATATAAATTAATAGATAAGAATAATAAATCAATCCTAATAAAAAATAAATATTTTAAAAAGTATTCAAATGAAAAAGTAAGTTTATTTAAATAATTGGTGAAATTTAAATTTTTAATCATTTAAATGTGGTTAGTTATTCACCAATCAAAATACGACTTATTCGTTCTGATACTGTTCTTCACCAATGACATTCAACCGGTTTGATCAGTCTAGCGTTTTTATTGGTCCTTTGTATGCCTAGCCCGTCCAATTAAGTCCAAAACACCAATAACAACTTCCGCCATACGAATCATTTATTCCAGACATATTTGGTATATATACCAGCCAAACAGACCACACTGCACCATAAAATAGGAAATAACATTTATACAAAATGAAGTTAAAAGTGGCTTTGAACGTGTGTGACGGTAATCAAATAACTGAGTATAGCTTAAGAACACTAGATCGAACAATAATAATCTATCAATCGAAATGAAGCTTATAATAAGAGTAATATGGATATACACAATCTAGTTACTGTTATTTATAAAATATTAGTCCATTAATAGTTTTCGGAAGTTACTCGTAATTTAATCTTAACTAGGATACAACAGTATCAGAAGGAGATTTTGTGGATATGACAGTAATTTTAGTAGGTGAGATTATGAGTCAATTAAAGTTAGACCAATATGAAAAACCTGGAAACATTGGACGACTCTTTCGTCCTATTGTGAGATTCCTTAGCAGTGCGTATCCACGATCCAACCTCGTGAGATTTGAACCCAGGACCTATCGATGTCGCGCATGAACGCTTAACCTCTAGACCACTGAGCTGGCCGGCATCCAATGGTGTTAATATCTAACTTCAACTAATCCATGAAATTGAGTGACATATCCACCGTTATTTTCAGTGAGTTACTATTTCACAATAGACCCGGTTGAACTCCACTAGTCAGTGCTTCTCACGAGAACAAATATGTTTATCAGACAAGTCCTAGAAATATTATTTTTAAAAAAGTAACTTTGATAACTTGACTAAATGACCGATTGTATTCAACTCAATTAAATATTCAGAAAAAACACGTTTCATCAGACTGGATAAACACATTGACTATATGTCCTTGTGTAGTAGTAATTAACTGGTCTGAAACAACAACACAACAATCAGGACCGGTAAATGCCTCTGAAGTAAGAACGCGGCGTACTGGCACAACAGATATATTTTAAAATTGAAGGAAGCAGTTCGAGTACAAAAAAGGAAACTTATTACAAAATAGTTTTATCGATTGTTCTGCAGGTTCGGCTTACGTAGGGCTTGTTCCTCTTCTTCCAGTACATTTACTCTTTGCTACCCTGCAATAAGAAAAACAAACGTTAGTAATGTCACATGTAATCATTGTTAACACTGTTACAGCCTGATCATTTGAATTTTTGACTGCATGCATCCACAATAACACACCAAAATTGTAAATCTTGAGTCATGGAGACTCCGGACATCTAACGCCTGTTTTATAAATTATGAAGTCCATAGTTTAGCATCATTTAGTATACACGCTATACACATTTTAAAAAGTTTTGAACCAAGATAAAAATAGCTGATAAATTGCACTTTGGTTTCAGTATATATTGCGTTAATATCAACTTGAAAAGTAAACAGTCTTTAAACACTTAATTTATTATACATTATAAGGATCTTGTCTAAAGAATAATAATGGAGTCAGAATATTGTATACAAATATTAATTATATTCAATATTATGTTTCCATTACATTTCCATAGTATCGTGAAAAGATTCTATTGACTATAAGGCATTGATTGACTGTTTGCACTACTTATGTTTTGAATTTATCGAATCTTTATGATTTCTATAGATTATTCAATAGCTGTTAGACAACCATAGAAACTAGTTATCAATTTGACTGTACTCCAATTTATCTTAAATTGAACTTAAACCCATGATTACTTTTAGACTAAACACGTCAGTTCGAAGAAATTTAGTCTAAATGAATCACGACAAGGATCTACAAAACATTCTAATCCTTCTTCAAATACGAATAGTTCGACTGTTATCAATGCCAAACCATTTTCAGCAAAAGGTCAACGACTGCAAAAGTCGAAAAATGATAAAGTATTCAGTGGGATTATCAACAACACAGTATGTCATCAAAGATTGCGCTCATCTAGACTGAAATCAATAAAAACACCCCATTATGAAAATAAATTACTAACTAAAGATCATGCTTGGAAAAGACAGCAATCAAACATAACTTGCACAAATAATAGTAATAGTAATGAAGCATGCTGTCATGTTTTATTTGGTGATAGTGATTTAAATGCTACCATCGAGAATAAAGAAAATACTCTCATTCCCTTGGTGAACCGATCAAATTCATGGACAGATTTAAGGATGACCTTAAAATCTGAAGATTGTATTAAAGAAATTAAAGAAATGTTTAAATCAGTAACATTGGACTGACAGTAAATATTTTGCTGTTGTTCTCCTAACCAGTTAGGAAATTCTTAATACACAAACTAATTTATGTTTTCGTTGTACGTTCCTTGTATCTTTAAAACATTCAAAAACAGATTTAGTTACCTTTCTACAATAGAAAGAAATGAGTAGTCAAGAATAGACAGTTTTCGTGTCAACTTCTCACATGTATATAATCTTCACAATGTATTCGACAGTAATCTCTTTTTTATTTTTATTTTTCCCACTTGCTTTTTTTCCTTTTCTTTTAATATTTCTATGCCACTATGGTCAACAACAAACAAAAATCAACCACATTTCATAACAGCTTTTATTGAATTGGTTTTGTTTTTCCAGTATGCTTATATGGTGTATGGATAAAAATGAATAATGTTCATAGAAAATTATGTTTTGCTTCTAATTAACATATCTTTTTATCAATAATTACAAAACTACCTTCTTTGACAACTTGCACTTGACGATGACGTAATTTCTGCAGAATAACTTTAAAATAGTTTATTAAATATTGACAACCTTTTATTTTCTGTCATAATTGACCGAAGAAATTATAAAATAATCAATAATGGTTCATGGAATACAGTTACATCATAAATAGAAACATTGAAACGTTTATTTCTACATACTTGATCTGTCTACCCAATAATATAAAAAGCAGAACTTGTCTCGATCTTGTTTAAAGCAAAGATACTATAGGCTATCTACTTCGACCTTGAGGCTAGTAATATGTGATTTTGATATGTAACTAAACGACCTTAGGGCAGAGCAAAGTAAACTATTCTACTACTTGACTGGTTGACAAGCGAGAAAGAGAAAAGATGAACCAACTGAAACATTACTCGATTTATTCATGATTGAGATTAACGCAAAAAGACATGAATAGATGAATGATTAACACGATCACCACCCACAAACAATTAGAAAAATTTCACTGTGTCCAGAGTAAAAAAGTAGATAGAAAAGATTACGTTTAAAATACAATAATTTTGGAACAGAAAAAGGTATACCAGTGAACCATGTATCTAACATCTTATAGAATAAACAATGGACAAAATTTAGTGATAATATTTTAGAAACTTCGGATTAAGTGAAATAATTTTCAAAAAAAACTCCCGTTGTTCGTTAATTTTCGATTTACATCACTTATGCTTTTATAAGCTTTAACTAATATTTTACATGAGAACCAGATTGACTGCTATTAATTGGTCAGTCATTATTGGCATATTTCTTATCCAATGATGAGTAAATCTTATCAATGAATTCACTAATTGAAGTGACTATAAGTCTAGTCAGTTTCATTTCTACACCAGTCTATCAAGTACTCTGTTCTTGAAAAGCTTGATGGCAATAATGAGAAATTAGAATTTATACTGAGTTTAATTAAAAATCATTTTCAAGTTATTTGATTGCTTTTTCGAAAATAAACTATATATTCACTTGAACGATGAGTGTAATGTTATATAAATATATATTAAACGTAGTTTACTTTAGCAATTACAATTTGTCCAATACGTTTAAATTATAGCATATTTCTCAAGCTTAATGCTTGACTTGAAGTTTAGAACATGATATTCTGTTTCTCTGACATTTCAAAACTTCTGACATTAAAAAAACGCTAGTCTGTTTCATGAGAGTAGATGATCGGAAACTTTCAGCCAGTCAGCTGATAGTATCAACCGACTAAATGTAAATACTTCTATGTAAATGTCATTGTAGTATTTGTGCGAATTAATCATTCCTTTGTACTTGGTTACTCGCCGATTACGAACTCCAAATACAATACGTTTATTTTTGCTCTCCTAGTTCCGCCTGCCTTAAATGGCACAACTTTGAGAATTCTTAGTTAACACATTAATTCGAATACTTCTAATCATCACATTGGCGTTTCGATGGAGCCTGTGACTGGACAGTTGGATTTACACTCAAATTTTAAAGCTTTCAAAGATAATATGGGAAGTTTTGAAATCTGGATTATGCTCAGGAAAGACGTTAAGGATGATAACGTCCTGGCTGCTTTCCTCATATTCATCGGACAGGATGCCTACAGCTTACCAAAAACTTTGATATTCCCAGATAAGCTTATTTTACTTCCATACTCAACTCTCAAAGAACTACTGTTAAATCATGTTAGGTTTATTAATTTCGAACGCCGTGGAAGAGCAAAATTTCATAAAATGATTCGTCAGGACAATCAAAAGGTTAGAGAATTTGTCCTCGAATTACAGAAACAGGCTGCTAAGTGTAGTTTCGATGATCAACTTCATGTGCAGCTACATGATCGGTTGATTGATGGGATAAATATTCCGAATTTAGAGAACAAATTAATTTAGAGGCCCAAAAGTCCATCCCAAGAAATGAAAATAGCACGTATTAACTATGAGGCAGCAAACAAGCTTGATTAATAATCAGTGAAAACTTTGCCTAGTCGTCGTGATGATCTGTGCTATCAGGGTCACTCAGACTCGCGTTTATGAAAAATGATTCAACAAAGAATTGCAAAGCAAACAACAAAAGGGAGAATAAGTTTGGTAAATGTTTATCCTGTGGCGGATTTCATTCTCGTAATTCGTGTGCATTTCGTAATGCTAAATGTTTTAAATGTGGTAGGATAGGACACATTCAGTCAGTATACAAAACTACTGTTTATTTTGCTTCAAGTGGTCCTAAATATTGTAATTTGGATCCCAATTATTCGGATGTTCCTAATGATCATTTATCTCTATCCACGATTTTGGAAGGTCATGTCCATATTCAGAAACGATTATATACCACCCTTGGTTCGTTCCATGACTTTGTTGTGGACACAGGCAGTATAGAGTCCATTAGTTCATTCACGAACTTGAAATCTTGAGATTTTAACGTTGTGGTAAGACCCATTGAAGTTTCAATTTTCGGGAATACTGGATACCGACTGCCCATACGAGGATGTTATGAATCGCTAATAAGAGATGATAATTCTTCATGCATGATTTGTGAATTTTTAGTTAGTGAAACAGGACTATCAATACTGGGTTTAAGGAACTTGAAAAGGCTCAAAGTGGAGTTGTTTTTATTAGTTTCTAAAAATATTTTGAGGCTTTACTTGAAACTTTGATAGCTGCATATGCTAAGTGCAGTGGATGTATGAAAATTCGGCCTATAAAACTTGAAGTACAGTGTGATCCAATCTTTCTTAAAAGACTAATAATTCCCTATGTTCTACGAGAAGCAGTACATAAGACATTGAACGATTTGTGTGCGAAAGGTATAGTTGAACCGATTCAGTCTTCAGAAAAGGGTATTCCTATTGTTACGCCATGGAAGTCAGATGGCAAGACCCCAGAATATTTAGTGACTATAGATTAATACTGAACACCCGTTTGTTGAAGCAAACATGCACGACAGTGGAAGCTGAAAATATTCTAAATGGACTTCATAGTTCAAAGTGTTCTCGGAAGTTGACTAAAACGATGCTGATCTTCAAATCCCTTTAGATCAATCTTCACCTATCTTGAAAACCATTAACACTCCTTTTGGTCTGCACATATACAACTTGTTATGGGGTTTCCCTGAGTGGGTTCGAATCCCATCCCCGTCGCCAATTGTTATAGCCCAAAGCCGACAATCAGAAGCAGCGAATTACCGATCGGACCAAGGACGCGTAAAACACGTGCGAGCAGCCTAGAGTCCTGATTGGTCCTGCTTTCCGTCTAGCCCAGCCAGTTAAGTTCAGAAAATCAGTCTCAGACTGTGCAATATGAATCCTCATATTTCAAACATACTGAGTTTAGATACCAATCAAACAGACCACAACGTAGCATGAATAGAAAATAACATTTGTACACATTTTGGCCAAATGTGGCTGCGAATGTGGGAGGTAGTAGACAGGGCATAATTCAAGAATGGTAAAACGTATAATAATGGTTCATAGGTCAAAATAAAGCTTATGATAAGACGAATATGAATATGAATAGTTTAGTTATTTAACAATTATACGATAAAAATATACGTTTAGTATTGGTCCATGAAAGGATTCCAAAGGTACCATTCATTATGTTTATCGGGACCTAACACAACTTCCTTCAATTTGGTCTAGGTTGTTCTCCAGCTATATTTCAGAGAGTAATGAACAAGGTAGCCAGTGATTTTAAAGGTGTTGTAGTTTATCAAGATGATCTGATTGTTCATGGTACTGATAAGGTAGTTCATGACCAGAGACTTATTGCTTCATTGAGCCGTTTAATTGAGAAGGATATTACGCTGAGTCCAAATAAGTGTTCATTTTGTGTATCTAGTTACCATTGAGCGATCCGAGCCGTGTCTCTGAATGTGAAGCTGGATGACGCGATATCGAATCCGCCAGGGAGCACCAGTTCCCTCAAGATTACAGGTACACCTTACTGACGAGTGCCAAGTAGCACGAAACCCGGGTCCAGGGTTTCCTGTTGACTACCTCCAACCACCATCTATATGATTTCATTGTTAGGCAGCTAAACGCAACGTAGAACCTGGTACGTGTGTAAATAAGTTCAAGTCATAGTACCATCTTAGCACAGCGAGATGAAATATTTCAGTGCACATTTTTAGGGTAGTAGTGTTGGTAACAATAGGAGTGGTAATGGATGAGATTATGTATGGAAGATACAACTAAAGCAATCGATATGAATTAGTAAAATAATAAGATAATGGGTAATTTATTAACTTTGGATCCAAGAGAAAACAGAGAAATTATAGACTAGATATAGAAATATATATTGATGACAGAAGGCGGGAAAGTTTCGTTAGTACTTTTCTAGTAAGTGCTAATCATATCTTGACTGAATCAGTTTAAGGTGCTGAGACCACCTGTTCGATTGGCCAATACCATGAGTAAATTATTTGGTGTGAAAACCTGTATGCCGTGGGTGTTTTTTCCGTTTCTGGCTTTCGAACTCGCTTCTGATGTTCTCTGGGTTCTTCTGGTTTCATATAAGGCAAATATTAGAACAAATTAGCCTTAAAATCATTTCTAGGTATTCTGTAAAAGAAACCTAGATCACCTTTTCTTCTATAGTAAGCCGTATTAAAGAAGTTTACCAAGTTTTATTCGAACTGTAGACGGTAAACCTCAAGATTTCAAAAAATAATGAGTAGCAACTCTATATACTTTTTCCAAGATATCTGAGTCACATTTTAAAAATAGGCTCGCGGTCTGGACCCATTTTCTAAGTTTGGGTTTCACGAACGTTTTACCTTAGGGTGAACGTTTGGTCTACACATCCACCCCTAGGTCTGAAACCATCCTGGCTTACTCAGGTTTGCTCTTTACGGGCTCTGATTGGACATCGAAGCATTATTGTAGCTAATGTTTTAGACACTATTATATTAAGTGATTCCTCTGTGATTGTCGCAAGTGAATTTTTTCCTTCTTATATATAGGGTGATCAAAAATCTAAACAATTCAGACTAGATTATGTCCACTGCCTAGATTTTAACAAAGATTTCAGTTAATCTATCTGCTAAACCTGGACCATTGTAAGATCCATTTTGAATGCTTTGTGTGTTTGTGAAAATCCCTCCATGTATATACTTGCACTTTGTTCCTATTGATCCTCTTAGTTGTACATTGTTAACTTTTTGGCTACATTTGAATTGTTAATATTTGTATTTTATTATAGTTTTCGTTTTTACTACACCTTCACTAATTCCCTATGTTTCTTCCCGAACTGCACTTATATTGTTTTACTTTATACTAAGTCTGGGCGGCAGCGTTTTTGGTTTATCCCTGCTTTTGATTGCTTGACCTGTGTTGACTGGAATTGTGCATTTTGGTTGTGAATTGAAGCACTCTTCCAGAATTGAAAACACCGTGTTATAGAGCGACCAATTATTACCTTTTGAACGAGTCTGCACGTGATCTATCGAGACAGGATAGAATAACAGTTATTTGTGGTGATTGTTTAGATTTGATCAATTGAACGATTATTGGTTGGGTAGCTGAGTGGTTATATTTGTTTAGGTAATAATGTACACTTAAATTTATGATAAATTATAGAACCGTCATCGTACCCAATTACATTGTTTTGGTTTCAATCGGGCGACGGCGCGTATCTAACTCATCCAGACAGCTGTCCTTCACTCCAAACCGTAGTCTGGATCTTACAACCATCCTTCTTAATACTCTCAGAGTTTAGTCCATCAGGTCCTGCTGCTCTTTCTTGCTTTAAATTACTCATAGCTTTTTCAACTTCATTATGAGCTGCAGGACTTACTTCAGGGATCTGCCCATCAGACTTACAACAGCTTGTCATTCAGGTTGCTTAGAGAAAGTGGTTAACTGAAGTATGAATGAAGACTAGTCGAATTGCTCCCGAAAGTGGTCTACCTATCGGTTCAATCCCCTGAATTGGGAGTGAATAATAGTTTTGCCTTTTTCCGATAGCCTAACTAACAGCCAGGTTTTTAATACCTATCTCCCCGTTAAATATGAATAGTCTGTATTGACCTGCTTTTATCATGAGAACGCGATTGGTTTAATGGAAACAATTATTATCATAAATAATTGTACCAGTGATTGTTTCACTGTACTTCTTTGTTTAACTGTACTAAAGACATTCTTCCTGCCGTTGATTGTGACTTTGCACGCGCTTACGTTTGCTCAGTGATTCCGCTTGTACTTCTTTGCCACGAGATCGCCAACAAATATACCTCGCTACAACCTCCAATCGCCTTCCGATATCTGGTACGCAACCTTCTTGTAGCGGTGATTATAGTCAACTGCGACTCAACGCCACGCTACAATTGGTGAACCCAAAAATACAAACACTTTTCAATCGAGGCCAAATCTTCCAAAGAAGCCAAATGTGGTGAGTCTATTACTTAAGTATCCAAGTCTGTTGCACATTTTGACATTGTTATTTTTCAATATATAATATTCTGACAACAACTTGAGATGACGGATAAAGATAAAAATAGTATTCATATAATAGATTCTGACGTACAGGTTAAACATTTTCGACATGTATCTTTGATCCCTCATGACCCGAAAGTTTGGCTCGCTGCATTGGAGTCTCGGGTCGAGAACCGTCGCATTACAGGCCAACGGCGAAAATACGCCTACGCTCCGAAATCTCTACCAGGGGATCACATAGTCGCTGTTCGTGAGGTCGTCTTTAGCCCAATGTGCCTAACGTTTATGATCGTCTCAAGGAGACTATTGTCCATCATTTCTTCCCATCGAGGGAGGAACGGTTGGGGAAATTATTAGCACATTGTTACGACCTTGATGTTTGGCTTTTCTATCACGCGACTTATCGACCAATCAGAATACGATTTATACAATCTTTGCACTAGGCCGAACCAATGACGTTCAACCGGTATGAGCAGTTTAGCGTCCTTATTGGTCTTATGTCCTCCTAGCCCTTCCACTTGAGTCCAGAACACAATACCAGCTTCTGTAATATGAATCGAATCGTTTATTTCAGACATACTCGGTTTATATATCAATCAGACAGACCACAGCGTACCATAAAATAGAAAATAACATATGTACACAAATAAGCCAAAAAGTGGCTGTGAACGAGAGGGACAGCAATTAATAGACTGAGCACAACTTCAGAACCGTAAATCGTACAATAATAAATTATAGGTCGAAATAAAGCTCATAATAAGCGGAATATAAATATACATAATTTAAATGTTCAATGGTTTTACAATAAGAATATTTATAGAATATTAGTCCCTCAATAGTCCTCGGAAGTTACCTGTAATTTGATCTTCACTGGGATATAACACACGTCACCCTCTGGGTGATGCTAAGCCGAGCCACCACCTCACGCGCCTGCAATCCCTTGCAGGACCTACGGCAGCTGATTCCGAAATTGTTGAAGAATTGTGGCTCAAATCGTCACCAGCACACATCCAACCAACGATCAAGGCCCTGCTCGAGGACGCACCACTCATCCAGGTGGCCCTCATAGCAGACAAAATATTTGCAAAACTGGTAACCGGGACAAGTACATAGACGCCTCAACGTCATCTTCGAACGTGGATGTCGACACTAGTCACTTACCGGCTCAAGGAGATAGAGACGGTTGCATTCATGCACATCGTAACTTCCGAGACCGTTGAGAAATACTCAAGCCCTACGTCCCTCGAGTCAGATCACGCTCTCGGAAAGCCGCATACACTCGCCCAACGAGGGCATCTTCCAACACGGCTTCGTGTGACGATATATTCCACGCTTTATTCGAGGAATTCCCCAAATTAACTAAACCACCGCACACGAGGAAGCCATAACGCTGGCCTACTTGGGAACCCACCTACAGATTCTAGGTACTATCCAAGTCAAGCCACCCAATACAACGGTTTAGTCCCCCCTAATTCGACATGCACACTATCTCATCCTTTTTTATCTCTCTCCCCCTCAACATTACTGCTATGGGGTCTCCAAATGTTGAGGGCGACAATCCCACTATTCTGAAACCATCTATATACTCCGATTTAATGGGGAGTAGCACATCCTACTCAACTTCGATAACTGTCTCTAGTCTTGAAAACTCCTTGACTGAACCCCCTGATCATTCTCCGGACACATTACCTAATCATTCGACTCTACCTTCCACTCTTAGACATACTTCTTTCACCAAAACCACACCCGACTACCCTTCTTGCATTAACCCTAATGGTAATAAACTAAACACTCATCAATATGGAGTCAACGCTCCCAATTCTTCCTTTTCTCAGGGCAAAACAGACAAACCACTCGGTTTACATCATACCCTTCTACTAGACAAACAGTCACCGTACCTGACACTTATGTTAATCAACGCTAGATCTGTACAAAGTAAGATGACTTACCTACGCACCCTATTGCTTTTAAACAACCCCTCACTTGTTTTGATAACGGAAAGTTGGCTGTCCTCCGATACCACAGACACATTTCTACAAATAGACACCTATGAGCTCTTCCGCTGTGATCGAGTCACCAAGAAGGGTGGTGGTTGTCTCGTCTATGTATCAAAAAATTTGAGAGCGGAAACCTATAGCGACCACGTCCTCAGCAAACTTCCTGAATCGATATGGCTTACTGTGCACACTCATGAATGTAAAATACTAATCGGATGCATATATCGAGCTCCTAACACTCCTAGTTCAACTGACACTATTATAAGTGAGTCATTTGCTCAGGCTGCCTCGCTTGACTTCACATACAAAATTGTATGTGGTGATTTCAACCTTCCCACCATCAACTGGAAGACACATTCTGGCCCATTGTGCTTTGAAAGCATACTTAGGTCCTTAGACATACACGGCTGGCAACAACATGTACACCTGCCTACACGAAATCACAACATTCTTGACTTGATATTCTGTCATAGTGTCACACCAACATCAATGGTGGTTAGCGAAAAGTTTCACAACAGCGATCATAAAATAGTCCTCTGCACCCTTCCGATTCTTGCCATATGCAACAAATTAAAGACATTAAAAACGCGATTCCAATATAGAGACTATGCAAACGCTGACTGGGAAAACTTTCGATTTCTAATAAAGCACTCTGACTGGGGCAGTTTCTTTACCAGTAATAACCTCTTAGAAACATTAGAAATATTCAATATCACCACCAAATCTGCACTAGACACCACTATACCCTCTAAAATTGGTTTTAAAACAGTTACTCCCTATATAAACCAAAAGACTAGGTCTAAACTGAGAAAACTGAAAAGGATGTACTATATATCAAAAGACTTCAGTGCCCTGCACCAGATATACTCTGTACTTGACGGAGTACAAAGTCAACACAACAAGCATAAACAGGTAGAGGAACGTACTGCGCTCGCTGCTGCATCTAAAGCCCAAGCCCTATGTCGTCTCCTCACGAAACGCATAAGAAAGAACACAGACAACAACATTCATTCCTTACTGCACGATGGAGTAACGTATAATGACCAAACCGTCATATGTGAACTATTAAGTGAATGGTTTTCTCACAATGGGAATACATCTGATGCCCCAGATATCGACATAAAGTGCACCGGCAAAAACTATCTTAGAACCATAAACTTCGACATTATGAGTATACATACCGCCATTAAAACCCTTAAACCAAATGCGAGTTCTGGTGCCTATGACATCCCTTCAATCGTTTATAAAATGTCAGGGCCGGACATACAGACGCTACTACTCAAAATATACACATTATCTTTAGAGACAGGTACATATCCGGAAACCTGGAAGGTAACGTATGTTCTACCCAAACACAAATCCGGACCGAGAAACCTGGTAGAAAACTACAGACCTATAAATATCACTCCAGTCATATCACGCATAATGGAAAAAGTGATACAAAATCAACTATCTGATCACCTACTCAAGGAAGATCTTATAGACCCGTCACAACACGGCTTCATTAGAACAAGGTCGTGCAGTACATGCCTGATAGACTTCTTTAACGAGGTTACTCGTATGCGTGACCAGAAGAAACTAGTTATTATACTATACTTCGATATTAAGAAAGCCTTTGATAAAGTACCTCATAATCTTCTAATCAACAGACTGAAGTCAGTTGGAATTATAAATCCCCTTTTGCAATGGATCAAGTCTTTTCTTACGAACAGATATCAAATAACCAAGATTAACTCTAATACATCTACACCTCGACCGATAACCAGTGGTGTTGTGCAGGGTAGTGTCTTGGGTCCATTGCTCTTTATAATCTACATCAACAATATATGCAGGTGTTTCAGCACAGGTAAGACCTACCTCTATGCCGATGACTTAAAAGTCATCTATAAAACTGACATTTGCGATTTACGCAGTACTATGCAAACAATCCAACATGAACTCAACATGGTAGATGACTGGTGCAAACGCTGGAGGTTAGAGCTCAACATAGAGAAATGCGGCTGGTTATGTATAGGAGACACGTCTCTTAAAATGAAACTAACAATTAGCGATCACGCACTCCCCAGACTGGCATCAGTAACTGACCTAGGGGTACATTATTCACACAGTCTTAATTTCTCTGAACACATCTCAGCCAAAGCATCCAAAATGCGGAAATTGCTTGGCTTCATTCTCCGTAATTTCTATCAAAATGAATCTAAAATCCTTCTTTACAAAGTTTGTGTAAGACCTATCGTTGAATACTGCTCGTTCTTATTTTCCAACCTACGTCTATCTGATATACTAAAGGTGGAAGGAATACAACGAGACTTCACCCGCAAAATACTTAAGACTGGCTCGGTCATTGACTATAGTTCTCGATGCCAAATCTTAGGAATAGCACCCCTTACTTACTCAACATGTCAGATAATTCTTGCCCGAGATTCACATGAATACGAACTTCGAAACAAAGTATCTACGGTCAAAGTTGAGAAATACAGATCAAAAACTCGGGAAAACTTCATCCTCACCAAGTATGCAATAATATGGAACAGTCTTCCTTCCGAGACTCGCATGGCAGATGAACTACATACGTTTGTGAAACTGCTTGATCAAGCCCTCACTCGCACTGATCTTGCACGTACGAACACATCTGCACCCCACTCAGACATCATAGGCTCTCTCCATGTCTAGACCAAAATGGACTTCAAGTTCAGTTTGCCTTATTTTTCCTACTTTGCAGTTGTATTAATTACTTTTTCCACCCCATTTCTTCACTTGAAGTAGACAGGTAACTCACTGGACCTATCATTACTGTCAAACTAAACTCGGTCGATAAGGGACAATCACTACCACCCTAAAAAGTCAAGAGGACCCGACAATCGGCTGCCTACTACCAGTGGTCTTGCATCTATGGAACCTGTTACCAATCAACTGGTTAAGACAACAGAAAATAACATCAGCACCAAGTTACTGTGAGTTCCTTCCTGTTTATCCTATATTAACTTTTTACTCTTCTGTACACAATGTTGACTAGCAATTAATATTATTTCTCTACTCGTTCCCTTATCCACAACTCATACTTCTATACTTTTTCCGCCTGCTTAAATAAACAACTATCCTACAATATACCCTTCTTAACGCTTATACTCTGTTTGGCAAACTATACTTTATACTATAGTCAACAGAGGCACTGCATCGATGCTTTACCCACAGTCCACAGCTTGTAACTGCCTGATAAGCTTGTAAAATGGTACTTATAGAAATAGTGCTTTCCAACAAGTTGTGAAACAGAGGATTGTGTGAGGTATGACGTATATACAAAAATAAGCTTAAATGAGCCTAACATCACAAAAGGAGGGAGGGTGGAGTTACTGACCAGCAAGCATTGATGGTGAGGGCGATAACTTCAATCCACCCGTGTTTGTGGGGACAGAACATTTTGTATGTATCAGGCTCTTTATAATTGAGAATAAGACAGTCAATCTAAGATATAGATTGTCTTCCTACGCTCACCACTCAGACTCATGTTTCCAATAATATGCTGGATTAGCTATTCTACTAAGACAACCTATAACATGCCAACTCGGACTTTTACACTAGGATTGCGTGGCTGACATCGGATGGACAAAAAAAGAAAAGAAAAAAGACAATAAAAGATATAGTCACTAGTATTCTTAACACTTCACCCTCTATATATACACCCTTCTAATAAACCGCTTCCCTTGTACCAACCTTGACTTCCCTTCCTTCATGTGAGCTTACTCCAACTTGTTAAACATCACTACTCGTTGTTCTTTATTAGTACATTCTCTAATATGGAGCCTCTGACTTCACTTCACTCTAACAAGACATAATATGAATTTATTCTAATTTATTATACCTCTGTCCGTTCTACTACACAATGTTAAGCAACCTTTGGCGTTCATATCCAAGTGCCTTGCTGCTCCTCTGTTTCTTTTTTTTTCTCCTTCAGAATCTTGCTCTGAGAGCACAGCTATGAAACTTCTGACGTTTGGAGCAAACTTAACGTACGCGTCCTCTCAAGGTCATAGTTTACAGCAAGCGCTCTACGATTTCACTTTATAACAACTATAAACTTAATAAGTTGGGAAGCATTTTGCGAACCAACAAATGTTGTAATTTATAGATTATGCCTGTAAAAACGGTGTGTACCTGCACATGCAGAAATATATTATTATTATTATTATTATTATTATTATTATTATTATATTCCATCGGTGACCAATCGTGTGGTACACCACATAGTCACCCGCGGAACCGCGGTCACGACAAGACCGTGCCGACTGGCATCGGACAAGCTAGCTTTCGCTAAACTTGAGTTTGACAATTTACTAGCTACTGGTATTATTCGTCCTTATCACAGCCCCTGGGCCTCACGCCTTCACATGGTGCGCAAAAAAGATGGGGTTCGTTGGAGACCGTGCGGCGACTACTGAGCATTAAACGTGGTTACATGCTTTGATAGCTATCCCATCCCCCACATACACGACATCGCGGCGTCGCTCAAGGGCACGACTATCTTTTCTAAGATCGATCTGGTACGAACATATCATCAGATCCCAGTCGCTCTTGAAGATATCAAGAAAATCGCTATCACGACTCCTTTTGGTCTGTTTGAGTTCCTACGAATGCCATTCGAATTACGGAATGCTGCTTAAACTTTCCAAAGGTTTGTCGACAACATAGTACGAGACTTCGATTTTGTTCATGTCTATATTGATGATCAGCTAATCGCAACATCAAACGTAGATGAACATTATTAACACCTAATACTCCCATTCCAACGCCTTCCAGATAATGGAATAGTGGTCAACCCGGACAAGTGTGAACTGGGCAAATCAGGAATAATGTTCTTGGGTCACATCATTAAGCAAGAGCGTATTTTACTTTGTGAGGACAAAGCACGTGCAATAAAGGAGTACAACATGCCGTCCGCACTCAAGAAACTGAATGCATTTCTCTGTTTGGTTAATTTCTATCGACGTTTCATCCCACACGCGTCAGAACGGTTACGACCATTAACCGATTTACTCCTCGATAATCCACGCAAATTAGAATTGAACGATGCCGCACGTAATGCATTTTCAGAGGTCAAAACGGTTCTGGCTCAAGTCACACTCCCCGCTCATCCTGACTAATCATCCACGCTTAGTTTAGCGGTTGATGCATCGGATTTCGCTATAGAAACTGTCATGCAACAGAACATCTCCGGTAGTTGGCAACCTCTTGCCTTACTCCCATGGAGACGAGATATAGCGCTTTTGGTCGAAAGCTGCTAGCAGCCTACTATGCAATAAAACATTTTCGGCACGTGGTAGAAGGTCGCAATTTCATCTTATTCACCGACCACAAGCCTTCAACGTATGCTCTGCATACCAAGTCTGACCGCTACTCACCACGACAGTGCAGATATTTGGACAGACCGTCACATTAAAGGCGGGTCGAACTATGTTGCTGATGCTCTGTCACGTATCCAAGTGAATGAAGTTACTTCACCGGTGCTCGATATTCCTGCTATGGCCGCCGCTCAAACAAACGACCCTTTTTGTACAGAAGCACCACAATCCACATCCCTTCAGTGCTAGGAAGTACCCCTAGCTACTAGTTCAGATACCATTCTACGTGATACTTCTACTGGTCTTCCCTGACCCATCGTACCCTCTGTTTACTGTCGTCTCGTCTTCGATGCCCTGCATGGACTGTCTCATTCAGGTATCGCGGCTACGTTACGCCTCGTCGCTGCACGATACGTTTAGCCGTCCATGAATAAAGATGTCCGTGTGTGAGTAAAGCAATGCTTACAATGTCAACGATCAAAAGTGTACAGGTACGCAGTTGCCCCCATTACAACGTTCGCAACGCCTGATGCTCGCTTCGATCACGTTCATATAGACATTGTGGGACCATTGCCACGATCGCACGGGTATGATCACATAGTCACGTGCATCGATCGTTTTACAAGATGACCAATACTCGTCACGTCTATTAAGGCGGAGACAGTTGCTCACCGCCTTGTATGACGATGGATAGCACTGTACGGTTGTCCCTCGACTGTCACGACCAACCGAGGAAAACAATTCGAGTCCGCATTATTCTCTTCACGGACCCGGCTGCTTGGTACGGAACGCATACGCACTACCGCTTACGACCCAGCATCAAATGATTTAGTTGACCCGTTTCATAGCCATCTTTAAAGTGCTCTTCGAGCACACGAAAATAAAAATTGGTACGAAACCCTACCTATCGTCCTCTTTGGTATCAGAACGAGCTTAAAGGCAGATATTCAATGTTCCGCCACGGAACGTGTATACGGCACGATATTGCTTCTGCCTGGGGAATTTTTCACACCACGGAGCGGCAACGATTTCGATGTATCGTACTTCGTCGATCGACTGTCTGAATTTATGCGAACACTGCCTCCAGCGTCAACTCCATTACAAGATTGACAGGTCGCTCTCCCTCGAGAGTTATCTACCTGTTCACATGCTTTCATACGAGTAGATTCGGTACGCAAACTTTTGCAACAGCCTTATGAAGGACCTCTTCACGTGATTTCTCGTCACGAAAATACCTTCAAGGTTGATCGACATGGCCGCGTCGAGATCGTCAACATTGATCGTCTCAAGTCAGCACACGTCGATGACAATGCCCTGAATGAAAACTTAAGACCCAATGTTAGACCGATCAAACCTGCTAGCGTGATCCCTACATCTACTTTATATACCACGCTAGATACATCAGAGACCTCAATCTCACGTCCTGGTAAACAGCACGTATCACCTGCACCATCTATGGACGAGACTTCCGTCTGACGTCCAGATCAGCAGACCACGCAGCCCTCGACGTCGGATGAAAGTGCAGGCTCACGAAGTACAAATGAGACCACCGTCTCACGTTCCGGTCGCCAAGTGCGCCTACACGTAAGCCTTCGCGATTAACCGCACAATCAACAACAGATACAATGCGGGACTATTCTTATACTACATTCATGATACACCTTTTTTTCTCTCATTTTGACTTTTTTTGTATCCTGAGCCCACACCTCCGACCATCACCCATTCAGTCAGCCTTGGCAAAAGCTGGCTTGATCACCCATGCTTTTGTCAACGCACTCAGTTGATGTTCTGGTTTCGAATATGTCTGGCATATGTTTGGTCCCGCAATCGGTTGTTATGGTCGCTTTTGGTTCCTTGGCTAAACGTGGTTTCGTCCTATGTCTGCAGCGTTTTCTGGTCCGCACCACTTTGAACGCAATCCCCAGATCCTGGATACGAATCAATCGGGTGTGGTATGCTAACTCGAGCAACAAATACAGAAAGGTTCTCCTGGTACCGTTCCACGTAAAAGACCTACAGTGGCAACTCGAGGATCAACGATCGCTTCCTGTTCCACCAACCTTTTCGTCCTAGAATTGCACGTTTGCTGATCAGTCTCACGAAAGAAACCGCCACGTATCGAAAGTGTAAATCTTTTCTAGCAGGTATCCTGCAGTGACCTATTTTTATCCTAATTCATGGCTCACAACCTCGAAAATGGGAATCATTAGTTTGTAGATAAAATGGTACTAAGGAATCACCTCATCACAGCCGAAAGCGGTTCGTGATGAGTTGCAAACCAAACTCAACCGTAGCTCAACTCTTACCGTCTAGCCCTAACATCATACAGTATGGCTGATGCCAGTTGGTGATAAAAATCCCATGTGGTTATGACCACTTTTCTCTACTATAGGGATTAGTTCAGCATATACGAGTTAATTGTCCATATCAAATCTATTAATCCATAATTCGTTATACTTATTATTAACAATTGACTTAGAACTAAGAAGCACTTTCTGAGTGGCTGACAAATTGCTTAAGATCGTCAGTGTGGCTTACTTTTTCCGCCTTTCCCACCTCTTTTGCATTATCTACTCGTTACTGCTCATGATCATTGAGTAGACCGTTCACCAGCTCTCATATTAGTTTCATTTACTCCTGGTCGTATTCTCAACCACGAGTCTTCGATCATCTATCGGTTCATCAGACACCGCCAGAATTCACCGGATTTCCCAACCGTTTAACATTAGTTGCTAGTAGATATTACTAATGTCTCTACAGCTGTATCTGTACCTATAATATCAAGCCACTTTGTAGTGGTTGTCATTTTTATGGCTAACTAACTCCTTCAGTGAGTCCTAAGGTTTTTACTAGCCATGACTTTTCTACAATCAGTGGAACGGAAAAATATGTGCTCGTAATGAAGCAAAGTCACGGTCTAAGTACTTAATTCATTATAGGCGGTAGTCTCCTATGAAGCTTTTTCAACAATGACCTATTCCACCGTGATCTACTTGCGTCACCGCGCGTCAGATGACGACTTTCCTTAGGCCTAACTTTGGTGCTTGCTATGAACAGATCATTGTCTAGACATAATTGGAGTGGAAAAACGTTTTTATATGTCCGTGGCGCCGTAAGATACAGTTTAGTGACTTTTTGTTTGGTTCAGCATACCCACTTGGAGACTGAAATCATCTACCACCGTTGATACATCTGAGTGTTTGGCTTTTTGATGGTTCTTGGGTGGCTCTTGATGGAATTCCCTTTTGGCCTTATTTGAGCTGCACTCT